TCCTTCTCAGCCTTTAGAGAATCTAAGTAAATCCTGTTTGAATTTGAATATGGATAGAAGCTGGTATGCCCCACTCCTGCCCCCCGCCCCACACACACCTACCCCATCAGCCAAAAATAAGGGTCTGTCAAGGAGAGGGCAGATGGATGGGGACTCCATCTGCACAGCAGCCTCCCCTAAGGACAGCTCATGTCGCGGGGTGCTCACTCTAGGCCAGGCACCAAGGGAAACTTGGGACGTTTTCAGAAGAGGTCATTTGCAGAGGAACCCAGGAGCCTTCTGAGAAAGAAGGAGACAAGACCCCAATTCTGGAAACTGTTGGAATGGGACAGGGAGCTGCTGAGCAAGGCCTTGGAGCAGGGCCAGGAGATGAAGGTGTCCAGTCTCCATCCTTAACTGAACCTTGCAACTTTTGTCTTTCAAGAAAGAGGAAAGAAAAGATCTACAAGGTTTATGCTGCAAAATGCCACACCCAGCCAGCCCTTCGTGCACATTATTCATTCGATCCCCCAGAATATCCCCATGAGGAAGGCATTGTTACCATTTTACAACTGCGAACACGGAGGCTTGGAGCAGTTAAGTTTCTTGTTCAAGGTCACTCAGTGGTTACACGGCACAAATAGGTGTGAGGACCCCCAAAGCCCAGCACACAATGTCTTTAACCCTAGTCTGCAGGCTCTGCCTGGTTATGCTTTTGTGTTCTTGTTGATGCCCTCATCTGTTTTCTCTCTGCATTGATTCAGTGTTGAAACCATGACTTATTCAGAAGTGTTCATGTTTCTGCAACCATGGCCTCCGAGGAGATCCATAGAACATGCAGTACAGCAGCCTGAAGGTTAAGTGCGCAGTCCCTGACCTCAGACGGCCTAGGCACAATGCCTGGCCCCACCACTTAATGTCTGTGTGACCTAATGAGCTCCATGTGCCTCAGTTTTGCCATCTGTAAAATGAGAATTATGTATATTAATTAAATAAGCTATTACAGGTAAGGACTTTGAATTGATATGAGCAAGTACTTTATAATCATTGGCTGCTGCTGTTGCTGGTGTGTTTTGTTTTGCTTTGCTTTTTCTTTTTTTTCTTTGAGACAAAGTCTTTTTTGTCATCCTCAGTAGAGTGCCTAGCTGTCATAGCTCACAACAACCTCAACTCTTGGGCTCAAGAGATTCTCTTGCCTCAGCCTCCCTGGTAGCTAGGACTACAGGCACCTGCCACAACACCCAGCTATCTCTTTTAGAGTCGAGGTCTCCATCTGGCTCAGGCTGGTCTCAAACTTGTGAGCTCAGGCAATCTACCCATCTCGGCGTCCCACAGTGCTAGGATTACAGGTGTGAGCCATCGTGCCCAGCTGTTGCTGTTTTTATTGTTGACTAATCATACCAGTTCTGCCTGCCTCACAGGATAGAATCCAGGGGGAAAGTCTGGGATGAGTAGAGCACTTCTTTGGGGACTAGGAGCTCCTGGTTCCGAATCCTATTCTGTGTGGACTCAGAGACATCACCTCCCTACCACTAACCTGTGTCAGCCATAGCAATTGTTCCTGGTCCCTTTATCCCAGTGGTTGATGTCGCTGACAATAACTAATGTTTACTGGGCACATGTGGGGCAAATTTACCTGCCTAATCTTCTTCTTTTTTTTTTTTTTTTTTTTGGCAGTTTTTGGCTGGGGCTGGGTATGAACCCACCACCTCCAGCATATGGGGCTGGCGCCCTACTCCTTTGAGCCACAGGCGCCTTCCACCTGCCTAATCTTTTGATCTTTATACCCACACTACTAGGTGGACACTTTTATTATCTTCATTTTACAAAGTAGGAATTTGAAGCTCAGAGAGATTAAGGACACACAGCCATTAAAAAGCCACGTTGAGGGATGAACCCAAGGAGTCTGACTCCTGCCTGTGCACTTTACAGCTGTGCTGGAGCAACATTAATTTAAAGCTGTGGTTGAGATCCTGTTAAGAGCTTACTGGTCACCACTCTGGGAAGGGGAGCAGGGACAGAGAACCCTGGCATCCCCTCCCAACACCGGCTTCAGGGAGAACTATCAATTCTTGTACAGAAAGAGGGAAAAAGTGACCCTAAAGGAGCACTTTCTTGGCATGAAGTCAAACTATCCCAACAAAAGACCCAGTGAATTTTGTCTACCAGGTAATGAAATTGATTTTAGTGGCAAGAATGAGCTCATTAGGGATGCAGCCTGTACTAATAATGATAATTTACTGAGCAGTAAAATCACCTCTCTACCTCCCCGCCAACAGACAAGGCTCCAAAAATTATAGGCTAGGGAGAGACTGAACGGATGCGGATTAAGGAAAAGAATTATAATGCAGAACTGCTTAAACAAAAGAGTTACAGATTTGCACATGGAACTTGGTAACCTTCATCCTAAAGTTGTCAAAGAATTAGAGACTATTAAAGAATTTTTATAATCATCTTTTTTCAGTTTTGTTTCCGCTGTCACTGGGTGGCTGTTTCTTGTTTTGGTTTTGGTTTTACAGCTCAAGCCATTTTGCAAAAGTTGGTACATAGCACAAAATGAATCGTCAGTGACTTGAATATCAATGCATGAGATGGTAACAAAGGTGAGAGTAAGATGGGGACAGTTGCAAGGAGTCACTGAAGTCCTGGAACCCCTTTCATTTCATGGGCAAAGACCCCAATAACCTTGAGCCCTGAGCAGCCAGTAGGTTTGGGAGAAGAGACCAGGCAGACACGCATCTCATGGCCTTGCCAGGCAGGTGAGAGATCTCACAGCTGGTTTCCATCCTGGGATTGTGGATCACTCTTCCAGGGTTTAGAAAATGCTGGAAAAAAAATCCTGACTATTCCTGGCGCTTTGCCCCTGCACTTTGAAGAGAAAGTCAGCTAGCTTTCTTCTATTGAGCGGTAACCTTTTTTTTCTTTAAACATACAATCTCTAAAATATCTTTTAGCCAATTCAAATAAGGATTTTCCTTTTTTTTCTTTTTTCAGTTTTTGGCCGGGGCTGGGTTTGAACCCGCCACCTTTGGCATATGGGGCCAGTGCCCTATTCCTTTGAGCCCCAGGCACCACCCAAATAAGGATTTTTTAAATGACTTTTCTCCTTCTTATGAAAGCAATACCTATTGGCTGTGGAAAATTGAAAAAAAACACAAATAAAAGAAAAACAATTAACTGTACCATCATCCAAAGGCTGTTCTTAGCATTATAGGTTAGCACTCACCCCTTTTGTTTAACAAAAGCCAGGATTTGTGTGTGTGAGAGAGAGAAAGGGAAATACATGGGCTAGCTACAATTCTATATTTTCAGAACCTACCTTTTTGATGTACTGCATCCTAAATATTTTTTCAGAAAGGTATTCCCCCATCATGTTATGTTTTAATGAGATTCTGTAGGGTTGGGGCGGTTGTTTGGTTTTGTGTGACAATCACCTTTATATACATTCTTGGTTATCTCTCTGGACAAAGGTTCTTGACCAATTCTGTGCGAGGAACCCTCTGAACCTCTTCTCAAAATGTTTTCAAACATATAAAGTAAAATACATAAGATTAAAAAGGAAATATCAAAATGCATTGAAATAGTATCAAAACATTAAAAAGAACAAATAGATAAAGTAACTACCTGTATTCACATATTGAATGGCAATGTTCGAGAGTAGATACAGTAAATAGCCACTAGAATTACAAAGTAGTGATGAGTTTCAAGCCGCTTGAGACAAATGGCACACGATATCAAAAGATCTGTGATTTCTAACGGGCTGTCATGTACAGCTATAGTCTGCTGTTTACACTCATAAATAGAGGAAATACTGAATTTCCCTTGGAGGTTAGTGAAAACAAAGAAACAAAACAAAGAAAATGTAACTTTTTTCTCATCGAAATTCTCCAACCTCCTGGTTTCTATCCATGGGATCCTGGAATCCAGGGAGCTCAGTTAAAAAATTCTTGCCCTGGGAAAAACCCCCAGGGGGAGCTGGCTGCATCTTTTGCCTGGGCACATTTTTGAGCTTTCTGATGCCAACAGCCTCCTTGTCCCAGGAGCTGCTTTTGATTTCTTCTGTGTGCTCAGGGCTGCAGAGGGAGGTCAGGGTGCTCATCAGTGGCGAGAGGATATTATCCAGTATTACGAGTTCAACTATGTCCCTTAGAAGAGATATGGTAAGTCCTGTCCCCACTACCTCTCTCATGACATGTTTAGAAATAGGGCAATCGCAGGTGTAATTAAATGGGGTTGCACTGGAGTAGAGTAGCTCCTGATCCAATGTCACCCTTGTCTTTGTAAGGAGATGACCATGTGAAGGCACAGAGAGAGTCACAGGAGATGGGGGCTATGCAGCAGGAAATGCTGAAGTGGCCTCAAACCATCTCAAGTTGAGAAGAGGCAGGAAAGATCCCCTTACAGGTGTCCGAGGAGCATGGCCCTGGTAACTACACCCCAGTTGTAGACTTCAGTCTCCAGAACTGAGACAATAAATTTCTATCATCTTAAGCCATCTGGTTTGGGTGTTATCAAGGCATTATCAAGGCAGCCCTAGAAAACTAATATAGCTGGTGTCTGGCCCTCCTACAGACTGGGATTCAGAAAAACCAAGGCTGGGGAGGGCCCAGCATCTGTGCCAGCCTGGTTAGAAGGCTGAGCTAGGTCTTCAAGGAAGAGCCTGGCCAGGCTGCACAACGTTAACTCAGGGATCAGGAAGAGATGGCCCCATACTGGCTCAAGGTCAATATAACCTGGAAAAAGTATGCTCACAAGCCTTTAGTGTGCTGAGAAGTACCCTCTTTATTCCCACATGATAATAAAAGGTCTTTATCATTAATGACATGCTATTGCTAACTGCTCGGGGGTAGGTGGCAGTTAAGGAATTCTTGCTATTAAGTTTCCTTATCACCCATTGGGGTGTGGATGAGGGACTGAATCTGATACAATCATGGCAGGTTTTGAGCCTCCCCTGAGGTTCACCTCTCTTTGGAAGATTCTATGCTTCTAGCTTTCTGGATTCTTTACAGAGGACAGTGGCTCTAAATTATTCTTCCCATTGCAGACAGATTTGGAATCTGAGCATGGCCACACATCACTGGAGCTCTCGAGTCCTCTCTCAGGGGTCTTTCAAGACCAAGGCAGCTCCTACCTGGAAGAGAAACCAGCCACGTGAGTCATAGGCAGGCAGGCAGCTGAGCAGAGAGGCCTCTGCACATGTTTCATCCCCCTTTTTAAGAAGTAGTAGGAATAGGAAGGAAAGAAAGAAAGAGTCTTTCCTTACCTAGACTAGTGAGCTGGGGATGTTTGGGCAGCAGCCCTTCTTGCTGCGGAACTGTTGGAGAAGCAGCAGAAGGTTGTGTGGCGCTAACTCCATACATTCTAAGACAAGAACAGAAGTCACAAAGAATCTAAGAATTCACATAACACGGGCAGGTCCTGTGTGCACACAGTTTTGTTTATTTCTAGTCCTTACAATGCATCCTAAAGGATAAGGATCATCACCATCATTTTACAGAACAGAAAACTGAGGCCACAGGAGCCTTCCTGTACAGTGTCCTGGTGTCCCCTGCCTCCTTGCTCACTCAGAGCCCATGGACATCAGGCAGCTGCCAGGACGGGTAGCCTTGTCGGTGTTTCCTCCCAACCCCTCCCTGAAATCCTGCAGAGACCACAGGCAGGTCTGCTGGGCAGTGCTGAGCTCAGGTGGAGAGCAGAGGGTGGCTGCCTACGGGGAAGGCCCTGCAGCTACGAATGCAGCACCTGTCCCTCTGCACCAGATAGAACACAGAGGCAGGCAGTGCTGGGATGGGACATGTGGGCAGCCCCTGGCCAGGGCTGCTCTTCTCCCTTCATCTGGAGCCCAGGGTTAGGACCCGAGCCAGACTTACTCCTCGTATGGTTTCAGACGTGCTCTCCTGGCCCGCTCTGTAAGTTCCAGGAACTCCTCATAGCAGTTTTTGGCCATGACGGTGTACCTTGTGGCACAGCCCAATTCAGAGACCCTGGCTCTTGGCAAGTAGCCCGCCCAGCCTGGGATCGGGGGCTCCTGGAGAGGTTTCCTCATGTCTTTGCATTCTGTAAAAAGATAGGCTTCCTAAAGATTGGGAAGTCACATAGTGGCCAGGGCTCTTGAGTTAGATGGCACCCAACACTTAGCCCCGGGTGAGCCCATCTAGACCTACAGACATACTAAGGGCAGCCACTACTCCCTGGTTGATCCTGCATGCCAGGTGCCTTGGTGGGGAGCTTTACAAGTAGCATCCATTTAATTCTCTCCCAAACCCTAAGAAGTTGGCACCGTTATTATCTCCACTGTATGAAGGAGCAGACTAAGACCTCGAAAAGGTCGAGAGAGATGTGGCCAAGGTCACACGGCCAGGAAGTGGCAGGGCCAGTATTCAACCTGGCTTTGTCTGATTCCTTGGTCTTAAATAGATGCTGCTTCTTTCTCAGTTTAATGAAAAAGCTCAAGACATCCCTCTGTGCGTCACAAAGTCTGTGACGGTTTATATAACAGAGGGCATCAAGAGATGCATCTAGGTTAAGAGAAAGCACATCAAACTCAGCACAGGAACCAGGCTCTGACTCTGGCTGGCTGGGTGACCTGGGGCAAGCATCGCTGTTCCCACTGCCACCTCCGCTTGTGTAAGAGCCTAATTAGTCCCCTGAGTTCCGACCTTCAGAGCTGGAATGCATCAACCTAGGAGCACCTCACCCATCTCTCTCTGCCCTAGATAAAGAAACTGGAGCCCAGAGAGGAGAAGAAAGCTGCCCTAGATCACACAGCAGTAGTCTGGCCTGTATCCAAACTCTTAGGCAAGCATAATCTTTGCAATGCCTAGAAAATCTTGTAACACAGCAAACAGGTAAACTACCATGTATTCTTGAAAGGCTCCCAAACAATTATAATTATAATAAATAACAATAAAGGCAATGAATCCATTACATTTCCTACATGCCTTTGGACCTTAAAAATGATATAGTTCAAAAAAATAAATAAACAGAATTTTGAAAAATGACATGGGCCAAATCACTGTTGTGATTATTATCATTATATAATTACGTTATCACTTGCTCGGTATGAAATTCCTTCCCACCCAGCTAGCACCTGGAAGAGCAGGATTCAAACCCAGGTCTGACTTCAGAGTCCATGCTCCAACCTCAGTCAAGTGACACTACCTCCAGAGGCCTCACTTCCCTGTCTGGAAGACGGGAGTAACAGTCTTCATCTCCCAGGCATGTTGTGAGTGGTCAGAGAAACAGCCAAGTCATGGTAATTGTTCATTGCTGATGCCTGAAAACTTCTTGTCACTTGCCTGGGTTATCTTAGTTCTCAGATCAACACCCTTCTTCCACAAGGTGCTGGAAACACCACAAAACACCTTCCTTGATCACAACTGTGCCCCTTTCCCCCAGAAATGTATCTTTCTCATTTTAAGGACTGGAGCCTCTTCCTTTCACACTGACTCCTGGGGATTTGGAACTGGGCTGGATGCTGAGGACTCTGCGGCAGTTTCTCTGGCCTGCGAGGATCTGCCCTTGGGACCAGGGGAGAAGGAAAGGTGGCTGCGGGCAGCCGGTACCCAGGCTGGTGGGGTGGTACTGCCGGTAGTACTCGTGCAGCACCCGCAGGACCGTCTCCTCTGAGTTGACGGGCTTCAGTCTGGGGGTATTGGCCACAGCACAGCGAAATTCCTCCAGCCTGTCTTTATAGCGCTGGGTGTTCTCCTGGAAGGTTTTCAGACAGTGGACAGTGTCATCCTCGGTGGAGGTTCCCTGGCAGCTAACATACGGTATAAAGCCTGCAAAAGTCAAGGGAGTCACAGCCTTCAGCGAGGGAGGCTAGCTAGGGATTGCGGGCCTGCCTGCCCCACTCGGAATTTCAGCCCACCCCTCTGCACTTCTCCCTTGGCCAACAGCACCGCGTTTTCCCAAAGACCATTAATACAAGCAGTGTTATTGTTTCCACTGTGCCTGGGCCCTCCCAGCACCCCCCCCCACACACACATACACATGACCTTGGAGCTGTGGAGGGAAGGCCCATTTCAATAAAGACCATGACAGTAATATTCTTTGATGGCAAAGCCCCTGACGTCAGCCTGAACGGCAAATGGAGAAAGCATTTAATGGGCCAAAATGATAGTCTGAGGAGTAACTGAAATTATTCGTCTTTTTAGAGAGAAAGCTTATTTTCCTCGACACTTCCCAAATGCAATTTGGGATCTTTCTTGCTGGACCATTGGGAAATTGCAGGCTTATTAAAAGCAGAGACCTAGTACACAAAAAGGTAAATTCATTATCTGCAAGACCCACCCCTTGAACAATTTTTCACCATTTCTCACAAAATAACATATAATCATTACAATTAGTATGGGTAAAACACAACTATTTATTTAAACTGGATGCTGAATCCTGAGTACTATAATCTTGTCACAATAAAACCATTTGGGGGAAGAATAAATGAGCAAAACAGGTTAAGAACTTGGTTTTAAACTGTAAAACAAATGTCTCTTATTATCAAACCCCAACATTTTTGCCTTTGTTGCTAAAAAAACAAAACAAAACTGGCTTCCAAGTTGAACAAAACCAACCCCTCCTCCCCATGTCCTACAATAAGCTACCTCTGGAAGAACCTACTTACTAATTACTAGACTGATCTTGATGGTGTTGGGAATCCTCCAGGCACAAGCCAATCTCCCCTAATGTCATGAGGGAGACCACAGAATCTCAGGTCCCTGCTAGAGTGGTTTCCCTGCCATGAGAGCCACTTTGATCTAGGCATATTTTATACTGGTGTATACATACAGACACACATAGGAATTAAGAATACAGGCTCCATTGATAAGGACTAAGGTGTTTAAAACAGGTTATAAATGCTGGCTCCTTTAATTCTCACAACAATCTTATGCTATCTTAGAGCCCTCATGTAGTGGGCTGATTGTATCCCCCAAGTAGAGATCTCCAAATCCTGATCCCTGATACCTGTGAATGTGTTCTGATCTGGAAATACAGTCTTGGCAGATGTAATTAATTTAAGGATCTAGAAATGAGATCATTGGGTCCTAAATCCAATGACTGGAATCCTTACAAGTAAAAGAGGGAGATTTGAAACACAGAGGCACAGGAGAAAAGGCCACATGAGGAACCATGTGAAGATGGAGACAAGCTGAAGAGGTGTGGCCACAAGCCAGAGAATGGGGGGTGGGGGTGGGGGCTCCAGAAACAGGAAGAAGCAAGGAGAGGATCCTCCCCTAGGAGCCTTCAGAGACAGCATCTTCCTGCAGACACCTTGATTTCAGACTTCCAGCCTCCAGATCATTTCTGCTGTTTTTAAACCACCCAGTTCATGGTAATTTATTACAGCAGCCCTAGAAACTATTAATAATAAATCCATTTTATAGAGTATTTTACTTACCATAGAGAGGATGTCACTTACAATGGCACAGACTGTGGTCAAACAGATTCAAACCTCACTTTGTCTGAATCCAAAGCCTGTTCTCTTAACTACCCAATAGGACCAGGGTGAGGCTATGCAACCCTGCACATTCCCCAAGCACCATCCCCCTGAGAACAGCTGTATGGGACAGCTGATGATCTGTAAGGACCACTGAGTTTGTCACCCACAGGGATGTGACTTATCAAGTTCTCAGTTGTCTAGAAGCCTGAGAAGAAAGAATCTCTAGGTAGGGCAACTGATGGTCCTGGTTTTCCAAAGACTGAGGAGTTTCGTGGATGCAGGACTTTCAGGGTTAAAACCAAGACATGTACCTGGCAAACCCGGACATGTGGCCACCCTCCCTTTTGAGGACATAAGGAAGGGAAACTAAGAACAACCTTTTATGGAGACTTGAGAAAGCCCAAGGTGGAAAGGACAAGGTCCCCTCAACTCACGGGTCTCCCCTCACACGATGTGGCTCTCCTGGTCCAAATCCATTCCACAGGCATTAAGTGCTCCCTGCCTACTAGGCCTGACCTAAGTTCTATCTCTCCATTTACGTGTATTAGAACCTGACTGTCAGACATCCTCGGCAAAGGAATACTCTCTATGTGTATCTTTAAAGCTAGAGTGACCATGCCTGTAATGCCCACACTTTGAGAGGCTGAGGCAAGCAGATTGCTTGAGGCCAGGAGCTCAACACAAGCCTGAGCAACACAGCAACAGTCTGTCTATCAAAACGTTTTCAAAATCAGTGTTGGTGCAGGCCTGATAGTCCCAGCTACTTCAGAGACTAAGGCAGGCGGATTTCTTAAACCCACAAACTCAAGGCTGCAGTAAGCTATGATTGTGCCATTGTACTCTAGCCTAGGCAACAGGGCGAAAACCTATCTCTAAAAAAATTAAAAAAAAAAAAAAGCTAGAGCATCTATATCATCCCAGTGGGCCAGATACACGTGTACAGTGAGTCAGGGCAAGGACAGAGACAGAGACAGAGATCAGGATTCTCCTGCCTGGCGTGGCTGCACATGCCAACTACACTTACCACTGTAGCCTGGTATGATGGGCAGTGTTCTCATGAAGGTCTGGGAAGATTCCATGATTTCACTCTCTGTTAATGAAGGGAAGGAGGAATGAAAAGGTCTCATCAAAAGTCCCTGCATCAAGAACTTACTGCATGTGTGTGCAAGCCCTTGCAAATGGAAGCGTGCCCTTTGCCAGGGATTAGGACTGAGAAGCAGCACCATCGTTTCACCCAAACCCGGGGGATATAGCTGACTTCAATTATAACCCAATGACCCGACACCACTATTATCTTTCTGGGCCTCCTCTCCTCCACCCCACCTTCCATCCATCCATCCATCCAACACTCATGAACTATATGCACACTGTGGCCACATCATTTAGCAGAGGTTGGCAATATAAAGACAAGCCAGACGCAGGAGATCCCTTGTAATGACAATGAACTTCGAGGGAGAGGAGAGACCAGGCACTCACACCTCCAGAGCTCTTTCTTTTGCCAGTCTCCACGGTCACCCCTGGAACATCTTGCAATGTCTGGAGGCATTTTTGGTTGTCATATCCACATCTGGGTATTGAGGAGCTGCTGGTATCTAGAGGCCAGGATGCTCTAAACATCCCACAGTACACAGGAAGACCCTTCAGAGTGAAAAATTAAATTCTGGCTTAAAGGGATCATGAAGTCCCAAAAGGCTAACAGAGTCCAAGATGGGTGAGCCGAGAGTGCTGAGGGAGTCCACTGAAGCATCCATTTATGTAGCTGCTGTCTCTGGAGCAAGACCCCTTCTCTCTTTGGGCATCAACTATAATCCCTCCAGATGGGCCAGAGCCTTGCCACGCGGACACTACCCTGCCCAAGCCAGTTCATCTCTCCAAACTGATGCCCTGCAGGCCAGGAGACAGAAATTCAGGGTGCAGGGGAGGGCCACAGCCCGGCTAGTCAGCAATGACAGGATTTGCTTTGGCAGTTCAGCCCCCATCAGGGTGACAGCAGTGAGGACTGGACCACGTCCAGGCCCCTGTTCTGGGCTCCTGAGAAGAGACTCTGGTCCTGGAGTCACAGACCCAGCTCCGAATCCACATCCCACACAGATGGTCCACCTGCTTACCAAGCTCTACACGTGTTAACTTATTCAAACCTCTCAACAGCCCCACTGCATAAATGCTATTATTATACCCATTCCCAGATGAGGATTCAAAAAGGCAACATATTTATACAGCACTGGCTATGCCAATGTGGCTGAACCTAGCTGCATCCTTGTTGAATCCCCACAGCTTCCCTAAGAGTTTCGACGGAAGAGAGAGGTTAGGGAATTTGTTTGAAGGTTCTAGAAAGAGAGTAGGAACAGAGAGGCCCCTTAAACCCTGCCCTGAGGCCTGCCTTGAGATGTCCTGAGGGAGGGTCCTCCAGGGAGCCAGAAAACCAGGACGGGACCCTCTGGGCTGCCGCCAGCTCCGGGTCGCCAGCTCCGGCTCACCTGGGCCGGCGGGGCGTGGCCCACCGAGCCGCGTTCCGGCCCCGCCCCGCCCCGCCCCGCCGGGCCTTTGTGCGCTCAGCTGGAACCCCGAGAGCCGGAGGCGGGGAGCTCAGCGAAGCGACCCCAGCACCTCGCTCGGCTCGGCCCGGGTGTGAAAACCGGCATTTGCCCAACAAGCGTCTGGCCTGGGAGCTGTCCCCCGGCCGCTTTCCCCGGGGGCACCGGGCCTGGCTGGGTCGGGGCGAAGCCACCATTTTGCGGACACCGAGGGTGATGGAGCCGGGACCGGAACGGCCATCCGGTCCTTGTGAAGGGGAGACGGAGGCATCAGAGCCCCGCCACGAGTCCGGGCTGTGGGGGGCCCGGCCCTGGCCACGACGGCCGCCCTGGGCCTGGCAACCCCTGCGCGCCCCCCTTCCTGTCTCCCCTCAGGAGAGCTGGATTTTCAGGTAGCCGGGCAGGGCCCCGAAATGAAGGGCTGCCTGGGAAAGAGCTTTCTAGCCAAACTTAAACCAGATGGAGAGCTCGAGGCAGCAGCTCCCGGCTGGCGGGGCTGCTCCGACGCAGGGGAGGAGACTGAGGCAGGCTGCCTGGACACTGCCCGCCGCACACCTCCCAGCCTTCCCGACCTCTCCTCTCCCAGAAACTGAACTTCAGGAAGACTGGTGGAGCCAAATATCATCTACAGCCCTCTTAAGAGCCCTAGGACTCCATTTCAGGCCTGCTTCTAGAGCTGATTCTCTTGTGGGGCATAGAATTAACCCAAAGCTCTGGACACAGCCAGTGTCACGTGCTTGCTAGGATGCCCGGGGCAGACACGTGTCTCAGGCCTTCTGCAGGTTTTTAAAGCCTTTCATTTGGGCGCGGTGGAGTTGTTAGTGCCACCCAGCTTAAATGCCTTCTCTCTGGCTAGACCACTTTGTTTTCTACCTTGGAGGGGAGAGGAGCAAAAAAGGAGCCTTGGTTCCCAGCAGAGAGGCTAGTCTTGTCTGAACAACTGTTAATAAAACTTACAATGCTTTGATAAAGGACCTGAACATCAGTCTCCACCTGAGATGGGTGGAAGGGGAGCTTGGTAATTACCCGTCCATCATTCCATTCACAAATCCAGACAGGGGAAAAAAAAATTCCTGGGCCACATGAGATCCAGAGTTTTGCTTTATTAGACATCTGTGAAGACAAGAGAGTTTGCAGATTCGATCCTGTGAAGTTGTGAACTGCTGCAAAGTTCTGTGAAGTTTGAATTTTTCTTGTAGTGAACAGACCCCAGTAGCTGATATTTTAGAACTCAAGCAGATGAGAGGTGTGAGGTTATGGCCGACAACTTTTATGCTAGTCACCCACTTAAGCCATTTCCCAGCATACATATGCAGCTTAATCACAGCTATTACATCTCTACTATGAAATTCAATCTTCAACTAATAATGCATTTTGACTCTTGTATATATTGGTGCATGCGATTCTTTGCTACCCTGGCAGTTCACCAGACCTGGTCTCTAAAAGCTAAACTTGGTCTAAATACCATTCTAAAGGTAGGGCAGCCTTTGTCATCTGGACTTAGCTATCACTTTCAAAAACCCTCCGCTCCTTCCCCCCCTCCCATCCTGTCTAGAACTTGTCTGTTATTTAGCATTTATTAATGCTTGCCGTGTACAGAAAAGACAGTTACAAAGGAAATCCTTGACAGTTCCACTTCTAAGAAACATGACTATCAGATAATATGCCAAGGACAATCGAGTAGTGGGTCAAAACAACAGGCCTTGGAGAAACTTTTTAAGATGAGAAGCTGTATTCAAGTATACTTATCCAGTGCTTTTATTCTAGAATACTTCAGTGGGGGGTGGGGAGAGGCAGGAATTATTTAGGGGTTTCATTTAAGGAGTTTGATGCCCGGGCTGCATATCTGTGGCCAGAACAAAGTCCAGTAAAACTATTACCCCCTCCATCATCTATTTGCCAACACTGCAGATTTCTATCAGCTCATTTAAGAGAAACAGACAAGGAGACATCCTTAATTCAGGGTGGGAAAAGCTTTATGTTAGCCAAGAAAAGGGGGACTCAACTATATTACATTTAATTCAGGAGAAAAGCTGGGTCTGGGTACCACTTGGTTCCTTTCCTGGCATACTAAAAACATCACCCATGGTGGACCACACTTGCCCTCACAGTGACTGCCCCAGAAGGAGAGGTTGGTGACATCGTAGGATGCAGAGTTTACTTATGTTGTTCCGTACTGTCATATGGCTTACAGAACCAGAATGTTCAACTCTCAAAGTCTATACAGGAGAATTGATACAATATGCTCTGTTAAGTATAATCTGTGACTCTTTGGGAAGTGAGTGTGTGTAGAAGGGTCTGATGAAGCTGTTGATCTGGGTGGTCTGTGTGTTTGGACCTTAGGCACCTCTGTCTACTGCTCCGTCTTGCAAACATAGTCCATGGCTTGGTATCAGCATGAAATGATAATTAGTGAGCACGACTGAAAAATGAAACTGTGGAAAATGAAGGACAGCAATCAAAGAGCATTTTCTTCTTTTTAAACAAGAAAAGCATATTGTAGAAATCAAGATTCTGTACAATATTCTAATGTTATATATACACAAAATTATATTACTCATAACAACGTTGCAAAGTCTTATCTGTAGAGTATGGCTGGCAACACCAAAGACAGACCCAGAACATTTAGCTTCTGAAGCAGAGCAGGCAGCAGGAGGCACTAGCAAACACACCTTTATGCCGGGACACAGCGTCCTGCCACCAAGGTATGTGATTAGCACTCTCAGTCTGTGATTTGCTCATGTTTTACATTCTAGTGAGGAATTCTGCAGCAGGCGATGTGAAGATGTGAAAATGAAATTGAAAAAGCTATTTAAAATCTGCATATCTGCCATGATAATGGGTTTGTGAATCCAATTTGCATTCGAAGCTGATTCCCTCCTTCTCTGTTCATTCATTATGCATGCCTCCGGTGATTTAAAACGGGAATGAATTCTAGCAGGTGGAAAAGACAGCTTTCAACAGATCAGATGGGCTCTGAGTCAGATTCTTGATTCTTTTTCCTCAGTTGGCTCCTAAGTGTGGGAGAAAACTGGCTTGGTACAGCAGGGAGAGAACACAGACCCTCTGGCTGGCTCCTCCTCAGTCAGCCCTGCTCTTGGGGCTTCTTTCTCACTGCCTTTATCCTCCCCACAGCCTTCCTATGAAAAGTGCCATCCCCAAGACAACTGGAGCCTCAGCCCCACCCACCCAGAGGACAAGGTGCAGGCTCACCTTCACAAGTTAACCCTCTTCCTAAGACAGTGGTTCTCAACCTTCCTGATGCCGCCACCCTTTAATACAGTTCCTCAGGTTGTGGTGACCCCCGACCATATAATTATTTTCTTTGCTACTTCATAACTGTCATTTTGCTACTGTTATGAATCGTAATGTAAATACCTGATATGCAGGATGTATTTTCATCGTTACAAAGGGGTCACGACCCACAGGTTGAGAACCACTCTTTGGACCTAAGAGAACCCTAAGGGGAAGACCAGAGGGGGAAGGCTATGGTCTGTGCCTCCGCTTTGACAAAACCTGAAGTTAGCATTTAAGCAGATTTCAGCTGAACCACAATCACCTGTGGTAAACACTGAACATGCAGATCCTTGTCCCCTCTCCAAAAGCTGACTGCAGTTAAAAAGGGACCGGATCCAAGAACCTGTTTTTAACAAGCACTCAGGTAAATCTGATGCAGGTGAGCACAGACCTGCTTGGGGGAGGAAAAGACCTGGCTTAATTCATCTAACTCATCAAGTACAGATCTACAAATTATTTTTAGACAGGCTTTAAAAACTGAAGATATTAATGGAACATTTCATAGAACAGATTCTCTGCTCATATTTCACCAAGTATTGCTTTCAAAATGTGGAGATAAATGGCCAGAACTCTTAGGGAGACTAAGGAGGGTGGAAAGAGGGGGGTAATTTAAAAGCATGTGCAGGTGGGGCACGGTCCTGGCCTTCTGTGAACACGGGAAATGCCAATCTCATTTTCTCACAATTTCTACTAAGATTTACTAAAATTACTTATGAACCCAGAAACCAGAACTTGGCATTCTGGGAACTGTATCACAGCATATAATTTAGGATCTGTCAGTAACTCTTTAATATCCATTTCCATCAGAACTTTTACTTGCTGAAAAGGTAAGGTATCAGTTTTACTACTCGTGGAAATCTGGGAATTAGCCAAGGCTACAGTTATCTCCCCAGATCTTCCTCATTATTGAAGTTACAAGAAAACCTAAAACAGTGCCCAGCGTAGGCAGTCTTCTGCCACCAGCTAAAAGCATTCCACTGAATCACCACTTACAATCACATGATGTGAAAAGAAATTAACTGCAGATGGGTGGCATTTTATACTGATTGCCATCCAAAAATTTTTAGAAGTCTCAGATGAAGATCTCCTCCTGACTCAAAGATCTCATTTTGAATCTATGAAGACAGCAAGAGGGCTTCCTAAATCCTGGTGAACAGGTATCTATTCAGAGCAAGCTCAGACACTGCTGCAGAAATGTAGTGATTCTCTCGTCGGTGGCTGTGTCACCATGTCGTGCCTCTGAAAACTAACTGCTCTTCTAGGATCCTTTAATTTCCTATGTCCAAACTTTAGTCCTGATCTCTGGCAGTTTTAGTGACCCCGGCATGCCCTCCAAAATCCCTAATTGTTTCTAGCCTTGATTGTTCTCATCTTCCCTGCTAAAATTCAGGTGGGCAATGGCCAGGGTCAAGGTCAGGGAAAAAACAGTCAAGGTTGAGGTCAGCAGATGCAGATAAGTCCAGTCCAAGGGGGCAGGTAATGGGAAGTGGCAGTTAGTAATTTAAGAAGTCGATTCCCACTTTGACACTCTTGGAGGTGGCTATATCGACAGCCGTGGCCTTGATCTCAGTGTCCCCGAACTGCATAAGGGTCTGGATCTCCCTCCGGGCGGGCACCCCTGTGCCACTGGTCCCTGTGAGATCCAGGCGCAGCGTGCCACACTTCTTCACTCCGGGGTCAGTGATGAAGCTGACGTCGTCATGCTCAGAGCTATAGATGTTGATGACAATGACCAACTGGGAGGGCTTCGCCGGGGTATAGCTACGCTTCACCAGCTCCCCCAGGGCCACTGACTGGTCAGCAGAGATGAACTTGTCAAAGACATCGGTGCACCAGCGAGTGCCATCCTTCACCAGCAGCTTCTCAGGCGGGTGTTTGCCCTCCACGTAGCGGTTCAGCACACCCACCCCATAGGTGAGTGGGGACCGGCGCACCTTGATGACGGCGGGGTCCAGGCCGAAGAGGACGGCACCCTTGAGGATGGTGAGGCCCACATCCTGGGGGATGATGATCCGGCACTTGTCCCCGAAGGCAGCCTGCACAGCCTGCTGCAGGAGGGGCGCCTCCGCAAAGCCACCCACGAGGAAGAGGAACTTGACAGTAGACACCTCGGGCTTCTGAAACAGGTCCCCTGAAAGGAAAGAGAAGGGGAGAACATCCTCTCACCCAAAGCCGGCAAGCAAGAGGGAAGGAGAACGGCCTGAGTCTGTGGGGGATGGATAAGAGCACATGGGCCAACAGGAGGGTGGGCTTTAGTCTGAACTCCCTGAGCAGAATTTTTGTAGAGCTGATCCTTTAAAGAAAGGGAGTTTGTATACCAATATGTTCGGGAATAAATGCCAGAGCTGCTACTAAGTAGAAACCCATTTGGACAGATAAATGATAGCAATTTTAAATAGGATTTGTTACACATAAATGAATATTCCTAAAGCTCTCCAAACGTGGTTCTGTTGAGTAAGTCAAGGCAGGCTGTCATAAGTATGCTTGGATTTTCATAAAAATCCCATCTGATTTGGTCGGTGAGGGGCAGGAAGTGGATTGGAGGGGAAGTGCTTGGATACTGCAAAAGGTCTCTAGTGAGTGTGCTGTGTGTCCCTGGGAGAGAGCCACCAATGAAGCAGGATAACAGCATTGCCTCGTGCAGGCTTCCCTCTGGGTTACGCAGCAGTCCCTGCTTCTCTAGCAGGGTAAGGATTCCTAACTTTCAGCTAAAATGCTTTAGAGCAGTGGTTCTCAACCTGTGGGTTGTGACCCCTTTGTAACAATGAAAATACATCCTGCATATCAGATATTTACATTACGATTCATAACAGTAGCAAAATTACAGTTATGAAGTAGCAACAAAAATAATTTTACAGTTGGGGGTCACCACAACATGAGGAACTATATTAAAAGGTCGCGGCATTAGGAAGGTTGAGAACCCCTGCTTTAGAGCTTCCAACTCTCTGACTTCTGGGAGCAAACTGAAAGCTCAGATGAGAAAGGCACCCAGCAGCTTTGCATGGCCTGAGGACAGGGACTCAGAACTGTGCCCAGCAAAATCCAGCAGGGCCTTGGCCTGTGGCTCCCAGGCCTGGACCCTTTGCCAACCCAACTTTACAAACACAGGCTGGAGATGCCGGAAAAGCCAGTCCCCAAAGCCACGTCCTGCTGGATACTTACGGAGATGCTCAATGATGCTGTCGATGGTGGGCTTAAAAAGGGCGTTCATGGCGTCTGGACTCATCCTCAGCATTCCCTGTGAGGACCACTTCACAAAATCCACACTGTGGGAGGACGGCACAGAGAGGAGCAAGCAGTGAGTATCTATACAAGACCCAGGCTTCTCTGCAGAAACAAGAGCCCTCGCAGGACATTTGTCACATGCTGGGGACATAAAAAGATTGAAAGTCAAAGGCACCCTTGGAAATCCCCTAAACTGCCAGGCTCTGAACCCTGAGGAGCTTGAAAGCTAAAGGTAGCATTTGGCTGTGGCTGACCTTCCCAAGGAGATAAATGAAGGGTCTCCGTGTCCTACGGAGCACCACATTGCAAGTCCAACAATAGTTGGAAGCCAGCATGGTAAAGGTCCACATGACATGTTCCTTGTACTGCCACGTACAGCTACAAACATTTGTGCTCAGATGCATGTCCTCAGCCCTCCAGGCACCTATCACGAGACAGAGATCAGCCTAATTCCTACTCGATGGCCCTCACGGTGTCTCTGTCAAAGGGGCGGCATGTCCAGGAGTGGTGGTGTGGAGCAGAAAGAACCCTGGGCAGGAAGCTGGAACTGTGGGGCTCTGGTCTAGCCACCCCCTGCCAGGAGCTACAGGAACCTCAGGCAGATTGGCCTCCCTGTCCTCTGAGCCCTGTCTTTATGTCTGGAAGTCAATAACAGGTCCCTTACCTCCCTTAGAGGGGCTGTTGTGAAGATTACATTAAAAACCATGTCTGTGGAAACACTTTGAAACTTTCTGGAATGAAACAAATGCCAGGGCCTGACTGTCACTCAAACCCACGGTGTGTATGCCACCTGATCTAAAGTTCAGAAGGGCAAAGCAAATGGAATCTATGTCCCTGATGCAAAGGTACACCAGCTGCTTCCCAGTGATGTGTTCTAGATGGTGCCAGGTCTCCCAGACCGGGAGTTCCGTCCCCAAAGGACAACACGGTATGGAGTGCCGTGATCCCATGACTGGCATGGTCAGCTTCCTTTGTAGGAATGTTGAGTGGCCCCAGAATCATGCAGGTGCCCTCTGTGGGGGACCAACAGGGCAGAGAGAACAAAGGCAAAAAGACCTGGAATTAAGTCTATTTTGTTTCCCATTAAAAGGACCCAAAGGCCAACTCCAGGTCTGAGGCAGGTAAGGTACATGATAAACCAAGAGTGTCTTCACATATCAGATGGCAAAGACACTGTCAAAGACCATTTGTGTCATGTCAAAGGGACGCAGAGCCAACCTGAGTTGGCCTCAGGCCAAGATGGGACAACTTGAGCATCAATAAGAGTATAACTGCCATGGTTTAAAGTACATCAAATGTGCTTAAATCCATTAATTCTTTTTTTTTCTTTTTCTTTTTTTCTTTTTTTTTTTTTGCAGTTTTTGGCTGGATTTGAACCCGCCACCTCCAATATATGGGGCCAGTGCCCTAACTCCTTTGAGCCACAAGTGCTACCCAAATCCATTAATTCTTCATGACACTCCCCTCGTACCCTTGCAAAAGAAAAAAGAAAACCCCTTAGCCACTTTGGAAGATGTTAGGAAATAACTTTTTTTTTTTAAACTTATGGGGGTGGGGAAATGACCAAATTTCTATATGAACTGCACTTCAGGGCAACCAAACCTCTAAGGAGAAAAGATTCTCTATTGAAGTAGTCTAGCTAAAATAAAAGAAGGAACAGGAGGGATAGGATAAGACCACCACCATGTGTCTGCCCTAACTGACCTCAGGGATTCGTGGACCCAGACAAAGATCATCTTGGAAGGAGAGACAAGCAGACATGATTCGTCCCGTGATGTGATGCACCACAGTAGGAAAGACTATGAAGCAGATTTGCCAAAGATTCCAACTTGCCAAAACCTCAAACTCGAATCTGATTAAATGTTTAAGTTAATCTGCCAATTTGCAAAACAAAAAACAAACCAAAAAAACAGGGGACAGAACGTGCTGTGTGACACTAATAGTGTGGGCATGCGGTGAGCAAAACCCAGACTGTAGGAAACTATAGGACAAACTACCAGTGTGAGAATCTAATAAACTGCAAAGGAGCAAAACAGGTGAGGAACCTATACGTTAAGTGGGACTTGAGAGGCTTATCACTTAGTCGCTGTGTGCAGCCCATTTGGATGCTGACTTAAACCACAAACAAAATTTGCGAGACAATTGAAAAGATGTTGATGTTATTTGAATGTTTGATGACATTGAAGAATCGTTCATTTTTTAAGTGTGAGAATGGTATTATGGTTATGATTTAAAATGTATCTCCTTTCGAGCTACATAGTGACATATTTGTGCATTAGAGTATAATGTATCTGAGATTTGCTTTAAAATCACTGGAGGATTAAGATGGGATAGGAATGGACAATTGTTGAAGCTGGATGATGGGTATTTTCTACAAGAAGTTTTCAAAATATTCCCTTATAAAAAGGTTATAAGAAGGCTCAGCCGCTTGTAGCTCAAGCGGCTAGGGCGCCAGCCACATACACCAGAGCTGGCGGGTTTGAATCCAGTCTGGGCCTGCCAAACAATGATGACAACTACAACCAAAAAATAGCCGGGTGTTGTGGTGGGCACCTGTAGTCTACCTATTTGGGAGACTGAGGCAAGAAAATTGCTTAAGCCCAAGAGTTTGAGGTCTCTGTGAGCTGTGACGCACAGCACTCTACCTAAGGCGACAGCTTGAGACTCTGTCTCAAAAAAAAAAAAAAAGAAAGGTTTTAAGAAAAAATTATGAGAAGTTAACTGTATGGAAATGTGTTTGGGTCTATAGGAGGGGTCCTCAAACTTTTGAACAGGGGCCAGTTCACTGTCCCTCAGACCATTGGAGGGCCAGACTGCAGGCCCTGGGACGAGTCAGCTGCTAAGCAGGACAGGCAGTGGCGGCAAAAACACCCGGTGAGCCAGATAAATGTCCTAGGCAGGCTGCATGTGGTCCACAGGCCGCAGTTTGAGGATGCCTGGAGTAATCATTTCACTATGGATATATATCTATATATATCTATATATATATCTCAAATAAATTTGTAAGGTTATTATAAATCTACAACTTTTATCTATTATTTTAAAATTCAGCTTTTAACTATCTTCCAAACATGCTTATTTTACAACAAGCTGAAAAATAAACTCCTTCCTACAGCCAAGGGATTCAGAGTAACTCAGTAGGAAACTTAGATTTCCATGAGACTCAACAATTACTGACACTTACTATATGCCAGTTCTCTCCTAGACACAGGACATACAGAAGCAGCCAAAATTCAACTTCTCTGCTTTTATAAAGCTTATTTTTTTTTTTTTAGTGAATACTAATTAACACATAGATAATTCTTGCCAGGGCCCAGGCATGGTGCTAAGCACCTACCAGATCTGAATTCATTTCATCCTCATAACAATTCTTAGAGGTAAGTGTAATTACTATCCCCGTTTTCCAGATTAAAAAAAACTGTGGAATAGAGAAGTTGAGTCCCTTGCCCAAGGTCACACAATAAGTGTGTAGGATTGAAACTCAGAGTCCACACCCCCTTCCTTCTCCCACTGCCTCAGTCCACCCAAGAAGGCCCTGAGCCAACAGGCAGCCCAACTCACTTGCTTTTCCTCAGGGCGTGTTCCACGCTGTGCCCACGGAACTTCTTGTAGTAGTCAATGAACGAAAAGGGCAGGGTGATGTTCAGCGGGTTAGTTCGGTCTGGAGCAGCTGCTCTTTTTCGAGACTCAAATGCTATCATTAGGTCAACCCAGGCTGCAGGCCGTTTGATTTTGAACTGTTCAATAAAATCCTCTCCAAATATTTTACACAGAAGTTTTTCAAATTCATAATCTACTCCTAAGGATCCATAGGGTCCACCTGAGTGGAGAACAAAGCAGGAGCATGATGTTACGAACCATTAGAAGATGAATCCGACCTCTGAGAAACAGACCTACCCCGTGTTCCTCTCTGAAGCACAGAGTCACACAAACTCGGACCCACTGAGCAAGCAGACTATAGCTATAAGTTTTTACTTACACTTCAAAACCCTTAGGTTCTTCTTATTCCATATGGAGAAACTTTTTCCTACAGAAATCTCTCTTCAACCATCTGTTTTAAATCAATTAGATTTTAAATAAAATCAACAATTTTATCTAACAAGGAACATCCTGGTATTCCCACCCCAGAAATCCAAAGGCAGGGTCCGGAAAAGCAGCAGGCCTCGTCTAGGCCCTGGGTGATCCACTGATTATTTGTTACTCCCTCCCCCAGAGAGAAAGAACACATTCTTTGGTATGGCAATCTTGATTCAAAACATGGTATCCTGACCTTAGCACTAAGTTGTAGGCAACACCAAATTACCATCACATCCCACCAGAACTTCCAGAAACGAAATCCCTTGGCTATGAACTTAAACAGGCTCACACTAAGCCAAAACCCAAGTCATGCTGGTTCGTGTCATAAAGAACACCTAATTCCAATAGCTTTCTGATTTCAAAGAGGCCTTAGTACCCTTTCCCACCTACAATCCTATATGCCTACGGCATTGAGAATGGAACCTGGAGAAAGATCTGAAACCAGTGAAACAGACCTGCCAGGAAATGGCTCCAGTGTGAGGAAATCAGCCGTGCAGGGGCTCACCTGTTGCTTTATACAGTTCCTTCAGGTGGCCTTCTGGTAACCGTATCTGATGGACTGTCAGGTCTACGGTGCCACCGCCACTGTCCACAACCACATACTTGTCACCTGGCACAAAAAAAGCCATCTTGTACACAGACTACTTACCAACACCATCTGAAACATGCTCATGGGTGGCAACTAGATGTACTCAGCTAAGTGACTAGGACATGGTTTTACAGCACTGGAAGTTATTCATCACTCAAGAGCAGGGGTCCTCAAACTTTTTAAACAGGGGGCCAGTTCATTTCCCTCAGACCGTTGGAGGGCCGGACTGTAGGCCGCCGGACTGTGGGCCCCCGGGACAAGTCAGCTGCTAAGCAGGATAGGCAGCGGCAGCAAAAACACCCAGGGGGCCGGATAAATGTCCTAAGCGGGCTGCATGTGGCCCATAGGCCCTAGTTTGAGGACGCCTGCTCAATATAATGCAACCGTATCTGCCCAGGAGGGCCGGTTAGGCATGGGTGGATGGAGAATCCAGATAAGTGAATCTTAAAAGTCACACAGTTCTGGACACACGGCACATACTAGTGGGCAACGTCCTGCCACGTGAACAGCGCCCCAACATTACCGGCTGTCTAACACAAGACTTACTCTGGAACTGGGGATCCTAGTCCTACTTTTCTTCTGAAGATTCTGCACGGTTTTACAACATGCAAAATTATAGCTCCCAAAAGAGTGGTTTTTAAAACCTACTGAGTTTGAGCATTTTCCAAAAGTACAAAAGGGACAAATGGGAATGCATTTTTGGCAGCAGCACAAAAAAAAAAAAATCCAGGAAGAGCAAAGGACATTGAAGGACGCTACCTTCCTCCAGCTCGGACCAGATTTCTCCTATGACATTCTCCACCAAAAAGGTCCGACTCTGCCGATTACGCCGTATGTGTTCCTTAGCTAGTGGCCACAGAAAGAAAATGACGACGGGTAAGAAAGCATGAAAAAGCGGACAGTCATCTGCAGTCAGTGGAGGCAACAGCATGAGGAGATTTAGGGATGGAACATTAGTGACACTTGACCAAAATGAGCGACTAAATACAGTGTCAGGAATCGCAGAGCCAGCCCTTCCGAGAGAAATTAGCAATTTCCACCGGCCTTCATCTATTCACCCACTTGGCAGATTCTGCAGCATGGGCACAGACCCCGCCCTGATGAGACTCCCTTCCTCCCGGGACAAGTTTTGGGGAATGGGTTAATAAAATAAGCCGGTTTCCCAGCTTTGCTGCCCCACGGAGAAAGCTGTCTGCCAGGCAGCCTGCAGCGCGCTCAGTGAGACAATTTTAAGTCAAGGAACCTTGTCTGATTCAAGGAGTAAGGGGTGTGTTTTCCCCACCTGGATGGACGAAGGGACGGGGAGCCATTTCTGACCCTGTTCAGGCCAACACGCGCTTCCGCCACAAGGTGGCGCGTCCGCCCCGAGCTCGGAGCCCTTCAAAGCCCCGCACGGCCTGTGTGCGAACGCAGAGGGACAACCTCTGCTTCGGGCCATAGCTCCCGCATCTCTCATGCCATGGGCCCTGCTGTCCACCACCCTGCTGACCTCACACCACCTCCCCCCGCTTTTTTTTTTTCAGTCCCTAAGCTGGTGCTGCTGATTTTGAATTGCCCTACAAACCCCTCCTGGCTGACGATCCGATAAAGCACCCCTGACCTGCTGGCCTCTTTCAGCAAGGACTGCGGTATTTACAAAACACTCTTCTCTGGGGATTAGAATGGCAAACACCCGGCCAGGTCCAAATTCTTCAGGACCTGGTTTAGAGTGGAGAGGGAGGTGTCCCCTGATTAAAGAGAGCCTGCAGGCCTGGGAGAGCTCCCCAGATTCTGGGCCTCCCTCCTTTTCCCAGCACCAGCGCCAGATGAGCTTGGTACAGACCTTGTAATGGGCATTTGGTTTTCTAAAACCATCTAGATGGCTAACAAAATGGCATTCACAAAACACAGCCAAAAGAGGCTAATCAAATTTTGTACTGAGCTCTCAAAAACTGAGCCCATTTTCCGAGCAAATTAAGCCCAAGATTGTGAAAAATGTATGTTTTATTGATCTTTTCCAATCCTTCAGAAGTAAAATAATACTCATGGCAAACCTTTCAGTGCTGGCACCAGACCCATCTCTCCCCAGTGGCATCCACTGGGCTTTGATAACAAAAGAGTATCTGAGCCATCTCAGGTACTCCTGATTCAGTGCTCTGCCAGGGTCCCCCTAGACAGCACCTGCCTCCCTAGATGAGAGGTGTTCACACTGTAAAGTGAGGCTGACACCAAGCCCCTGCCTCACTGCCCTTTGGAGTCATGATAGCCAATGATTGGAGGATTTCAAAAACCAAAAAGACTCTTGGAGTACAGGGAGGCAGAAGCAAATTCCACAAGCCACAGGACACAGACACAGAGCAGTGGGGGGTGGGGAGGAGGGCAGATATGATATGTTCAAGGAAAGGAAACCAAACACTGAGCTCTCAGGGAAGGCAATCGTTCAAAAACAGATTGCCCCCAAATGCGAGTGTTATAGTTGCAAAAAGTTAAGAAGAGTTAGGCTAGACTGACAGGAACTTCTGTTTATGAACGACTGGCAATCAAGTATGTAATGATAGACCCAATCATCCCTCTTTTTCCCAGTGAAAACATGAATTCAGAAATTTAAATATAAAATATCGTCCTGAGTACGTAAAACATGAATGCATTTGGCCAGCTGTGAGGCCAGCCATGGGGAGGATGAGCCTCAGGAGAAAAGGGCAAATCAAAGGCCAGGCATGGTGGTTCACTCCTGTAATCCCAGCGCTCTGGGAAGCTGAGGCAGGTGGATTGCCTGAACTCAGTTTGAGACTAGCCTGAGCAAGAGGGAGACCCTGTCTCTAAAAATAGCCGGGCTTTGTAGTGGGCACCTCTAGCCCCAGCTGCCTGGGAGGCTGAGGCAAGAGGATCACTTGAGCCCAAGAGTTTGAGGTTGCTGTGAGCCGTGACCCCACTGCACTCTACTGAAGGCAACAAAATGAGACTCTGTCTCAAGGAAAAAAAAAAAAAAGGTACAAATCGAATGTTCAGATTGAAAGGGAAGCTTCTCTTCATTCATTCTGGGTAAACCAGACAGACCCAAGACACTAATAATACACAGCCATGGGCAAGCTGATGCAGCAGCCAGGTGACATGGAAATCTTATGCCACTGCCTAGGGGCTGAGGTTCACAGATTACTAAATCTTAGGACTAAAATGCACAGAGGTACATCTGGGGCAGAGTTGCCCCTGTGAAAGGAAGAGAAGAAACCTGAAAGAGATGGCCTTGTACCAACTGGGCAAGAATGTACATCTCTGCCCGGGGTGAGCCGGGCCCAGTGCCTCAGAAGTGCAGGCACAGGCTTTGGGTGTGAGGACCAAAGAAAACTCCCATCCAAGTTTGTGGCTAGGACCACTTGGCAAAGGTCCTCACCGAGGTCTTCCTTTTCCTCCTCTGACTGGGGGGAGGGGTGACAGGTGGGTGTTTGCCTTCCTCTGCCTTAGAGCAGAGTGCTCAGAGCAACAGCACTCCCCTTTCCTGCTCATGCTCAAGTGGGTGCTTTGACCCTGACCTTGGGTGTCTGCAAACCCTGTAGCCCTGGACAGACCCCCAGAGCCCTGGATAGTGTGGAATGAAGTTCTGTGACCAAGACTGTAACTAGCTTGCATGTAGGTAACTATTAAAGAGGAAAAACCTCCTTAAAATACCCATCCCGGTTCTCTCTCGGTGCTGCTCTCTCTCCACAGTTAAATGAACATCACCCAGGTCGGGAAAAGCCAGCCTGTGTCTTTCTGCATTTTAAACTCTTAGCTAAAACACATAATGAGCTCATCACACATGAAGTGGCCCCACAGAATGAGTCAGCAATAAATCAACAGTCTTAATGAAGGAATTAAAAACAGGCAAAAGGAATTAGATTAGGAATCAGTTAACAGATAGGAAATATTAGGAGTCTAGTAAAATGCAAGGCCAAGAACTGCTCTCAGGCTGCCCCCTCAGGTTCTTGGAGTGAAGCCTCCCCTGGCCGTCCTCCCTCAGGCTGTCCCCCACCAGGAATTTGGTGCATGATGGACCAGGGTAACCATTGCTTAGTTTATGGGGGCCCATGAGAGGGGCTGGGTGTGGGGCTGAGCACAGAGGTGCTGAAAGCCAACTTCTTGCTGGAGTATCTTGATTCTTCATTACAGCACCAAGTGCCTTAAAGATCATCAGAGGCAGAGAAACATCCGGGGGTCAGGTGGGGGAGAGTGGGAGGCGAGAGAGAGAGCAGAGGTACCCTGTGCAAACCCAGCTCCTACTGTGTCCCTGCCGCTGTACCCATTGACGGCCGCCTTGCTGCTCAGCTCAATCATCTGGTGCAGCCGCAGCTTCCGGCAGTAGATGGAGGCCGCCTCGGGCTCCAGGGCAATGATGAGCTGCTCCGAGTTCTCGGGGGAAGCCAGGCCTGCCTGGAAGACAGAAACAGAGGCTGGGACCCGGGATCCTCCAGCAGGCCTGCTCAGAGGACACCCACTCCCAGGCTGCCATCCCTAAGGAGGGGCACTACGCTCCGCTACAGTGGGGCACTCCCAACACAGTGCTCTGCAGAGCTTAACATCTGGGTGCTTGGGTTCCAAGCCAGGAGCCCATACACCTCACGGTGGCCAAAGGAAATGTACAGGCACCCTACAGATGCACCAGGCTCTCCAGCCATGGGGCCTCTTACACTTGGGGCTGGCTTGGCCCAGAACTGAGAGGCACAAGAAGCCAAGGAAATCATGGACTGTGGGATGCAGATGGGATTTAATGTAGTGGAGGGACAGAGTTGCAGAGGCCCTGAGCTTTCCAGCACAGGATGAAATGCAGATGATCTGTCCCCAGTTACAATGTGCCACATGGTCTGACCAAGTCAGAGCCAATTCCAATCTCTGGTGGCCTTGAAAACAAATGGACCCTTGCTAGACCTCAGCTAGACAAGCGTTTGATTTTGCTGTATGGAAATCTGACCCATTATCTCCAGAGTTCTGGGAGGGATGTCTGCCTGCTGGGGGTGACACATGAGCAGTGACTCCCAGAGGAAGCCATTCCTGGAATCCCACATTTAGCCCCTTATTTTCTACAGTGTGGGTTGAAAGTCAGCTAGGAGGTATCTTATTCAAAACTCTTATCCTTATTCTCACCCTTTAAGAGTTTCTAGTATGCATATCTGTCACATATAATAAAAAATATCCCTTTAATAATCCAATCCCCAGGTACCCATCTGAGGCCTCAGGACCACCCCTCTGAGGCTGCTCAGAGACACCAGCCTGGCTTGACCTCTAACTGAGCCCTGCCCCTTCCCATGGCCTTGAGCTGGAATGTGGGGTCTCACTTGCGCCTGGGAGCTGTTCAGGTGCCCAGGGTTTTCCTGTCACAGGCATGGCAGCACACAGAAGCACACTTCATTCCTGGCCCTGCTGTGCTGCCTCTTCTTAGGGACTCTTGGCACGGTGCCTTCATGCCCCTTCCTTTGCAGAAGACCCCTCCCCAGTTCCATGCCAGCCCCTTGAGGTTCTGTGATCCTTCCTATAGACCAGGTATAGAAGGTCTCCTAATGTCACACACACAACCGCTTGCCAGAAGGAGCCAGCCTAGAGTCCTAGGCAAAGGAGCTTAGGAGGTCTGAACACTGGGCAAGGAGGGGAGGGATTCAGGTGAGGACATTAGGAATGCAAAGGACCTTCAGTGCCCTTTGTCCAGCTTCTTCACTCTACACACAAAGAAATGAAAGCCCAGAGAGGTAGGGTAACCTACTGTCCCGGTTTGCCTAGGATAGAGGGATTTCTTGGGACGTGAGTCATTCAGAGCTAAAACCATCAGGGTCTTGCTCAAGGCACCAAACAGTGAGTGGCAGAGCTCAGGTCAGAGCCTTGCAGACCGTCCGCACTCATCCACTCCCAGCTCCCCTGTTCTTAACAACTCTGGTTGCCATGGTGGGTCCAGGCCTGTGTATCCCCAACGCTTCTAAGACCTTCTGTTCAACTGGTTTAAAGATACAATCCCTTTACCCATTTACTCCAGGACAATATCAAATGATGCGCTGCCTGAATCCACTGGCCGAAGTTCTCCACGATAACCACACCCAGAATAAGCCCAGCTAATTTCGTCTTAATGAGATTCTACCAGCAAGCAGGTGACTGAAAACGCGAAATGCCTCACAAATGGTAGGACCATTTGGGGAAGACAGACTTTATAAAACCAGGCGAGAGCCACACCATATTCGGCACTATCTATGGTGAACCCCTGCCCTACTGCCTAGTGGCCAGAGTCCATGCCCATCAGCTCAGTCCCTGAGTGGATGGGGCTGGGTCTGCCCATAGCTGACATCGGTCCACCTGCCACTGATACAGATGCATGGGGATATTTCCCACTGCTCCCAGTTCAGTGGGCAAAAGTCGGCCTCCTCAGCTTCATGTCCTCACAGGGTCATGTTAGACACCCTTAGCACAAAGATGCTCAGGTTAAAGTGAAAGAGGCCATAGTCACACACGTGCAGGCCAGCACGCCTGCTGAGTCTCAATCCCGAGGGGCCCAGAAGAAATCCGAAAGAAGACCAAAGGAGCCCCTCGGAAGGACAGCTTGTGTGCGGATTTTTCTGTCTTCATAGCTTTGTAACATAAGGACCGCCTGGGAGAAGCGAAGCTAAGCAGGCAGCCTCCCACAAAGGGGCGAGGAAGAAGGAAGGATTAGCCAGGGAGATGCTCCTGGCCTGTGTGCATAAGCCTCTTCCAAAGTTCAGACTCGAAAGTAAACACAGCAGGAGGGTGAGCCTGAGAGTGGAGCCAGGGGAGGAAAGTCAGGGTGAAGAAAGAAAGGCAAAGGTCAGCGGCGCCCATAGCTCAGTGGGCCGGGCACTGGCCACATACACCGAGGCCGGCAGGTTTGAACCCAGCCTGGGCCTGGTAAACAACAATGACAACTGCAACCAAAAAAATAGCCAGGTGTTGTGGCGGGCACCTGTAGTCCCAGCTACTTGGGAGGCTGAGGCAAGAGAATCGCTTAAGCCTAAGACTTTGAGGTTGCTGTGAGCTGTGACACCATAGTACTCTACCTAGAGTGACATAGTAAGACTCTGCCTCAAAAAGAAAGGAAAGGCAAAGGTGGTGTAGCTCAGATGCCTCATTACTGTCATCATGTCCCACTGGGATGTCAGTCTCCCAAGTGGGACTTGCCACAGCAAGGCCCCCACATGGCCACTGAGACAACACGGGCCTGGACTGTGGCAAACAAGCTCTGTCATTCCTCTACTGATGTCCCTAAAATTCTGATCCGGAGCTCTGACTTAGATGGGAAACCTTTACACGGAAAATCCAATCCAGAACTGCAGGGGAGTAAGAAGCCTTGAGTAACATCCCATGACTGGAGGGTGTCTGAGTGTGCAGGGTATGTAACTGACCATCCAGCAGGACAGTGGTCCCCCACTCCCACATCCTGAGAGGGCTAATAAGAGACGCTCAGAGTCCGCCCCGAACACTGGGGCTGTCCCCCTCAGGGGAGCCTTTCATCTGTCCCTCCCCAGCTGGACTGGCCTGGCCAGCAGCCATAGCTTTAATTTTCCGAATTACCATAGTGGCTTCCTCAAGGTCCCAGGGAGAGGATGCAGGTGAGGAGTGGAGGTGAAGAGGGCCCCACTCCAGAGGGAAGGAGAAGGGCAAGGTCGGAGAGGGGCGGGACAGCGTCTGGAAGGCCAAGGACAAAGCAATTACACTTCTATGTTTGGACCAGCTGACTTACACTCTGCATCAAGAATAAGTGGCTATGTACCACCAGCAAACTCCCAGGGAGGCCACAGAGCAGAGCTGACCTCCCCAAGAGGAGTCCCAGAGCTGCTGTGGACTCCAAGAAAAAGAGACAATGGTAAAAAGTGGCCTAGACTTGCAAAACCCAGATGTTTATCCCTTGGCTGGAGGACGCAGCGCCCGGAAGTGCAGGCTTTGCTTGTACATAAACACTCACCATCATCCCCAGAAGCAGCCCTGTGCCTGGCAGCCCTCAGGAGACCTGTGGGGCTATTGCCTGGGATCAGGCCAGAGACAACTGGAGCAGAACATTCTCTCCGCCTTTGCTACTTCTGCCATGGAAGCTGGCACCTCTCAGCTACTACTCCATGTGAGGGCTCCCCCGGGGCCCCTGCGGAGCATGTCACGCATTCTGTCTCCAACTTTACAGACAGTGCACACGTGTGCAGCCTCTCCTGCGAGATGATGCATGTAGGTGTTCTAAGGGCAGCAGTCAGGTCTCCTTGCCCCGTGGCATATGGGAGGTGCTTTGGAGACAGCTACCCAACCAGTGAACCTGGCACCCCTCCAGCCAGCCCTCACTCTGCAGTTTCCTGGCCCCTGGTTCGGCTGAACTAAACATAAGCATTCTGCAGACATGAGCAAGGATTCCACAAAGAGAAAGTGTCTGAACCGAGAACAAGTTACTCCATTTGACCCCCGCCCCCAGAATCTGAGCAGCAGGGGTAGTAGCTTTTTCCAGCCTTTCTCTGTAATCTCAAACCTCACTCCAGAGAAGCAGGTGAGAAAAACGCACCCCAGGGAGCCTGAGGAAATGGTGTTTACCCCACTCCTCTGCTCCTCAGCTCCACAATCCATCAGCCAGGGAAATCTGCCAAGAGACTGTGTCCACAGCTGAGAAAAAAAGTGGCCTGGCCAGTTAAGTGCTCTGCTGGTCCGTTGTCAGGCTACAAAGGGGTTACAGCTGCACCCCTTCTGGGGGTTGTGCAGTTTCTCCTGGTCATTATTTTTCACTGCAGCTTGTTCAGAATGGGAGGCACATGCAAGCTGCATTTCCATGTTAGATCATCGCACACATGGGAGCATCATTTAATTCACAGGTTTCTGGAACCTAGTAGAGTTACACATTTGCAGCAAAAAGCCTGTAGAAATAAACTGGACTATTTCCTATCCATGACCCTGCCCTGACCCCAGTTCAGTGAACTATCATCTAGTTCTAGCTTTTTTCTAAAGGCCTCCGAAGAGGGATCAGCTGTGCTTTCTGCTACTGACTTTTCACTGACTACTCCTAAAGAGCCTGAAGGAGTCCTGGGTCTGCAAATTATAAAAGAGAGAGATTTAACCCCTTTTTTCAACAAGCACTTGACACTGGTGAAACTATCTGGTTACACTGCTTTTCAGCCCTCATGGGCAGAGCCAGAGGCCCCAGGACTGCAGACCTGCCTCTCACCACAGAAGATGCTACTTAGAGCATCAGCTCTCAGCTCTGCTTCTGGGCCCCATTTGCCTCCACCTGGAAGGTGGGATGTGGAAGTTCAGCCCTCACCTGACTGCTGTGAACTTGTGCTCAGGAGGGTTGCATAAGCCTGGAAGGAGGGTTCTATTTTTCCTGTGCAAGGGGAATGGATACCAGTGGTTTCTCAACTGCCCTGATGAGATAGGACCACCTGTTTACCTCATTCTTTCAGCTGGAAGTCAGGCCAATGGGATGCACTTTGGGTGTCAGGGTTGGTAGTCAGGCTGCTGGGTTGAGCCATGTTTTGTGCTCAGGTACTGAAAGAGTCAGGGTTCCCCAGAGAAACAGCCCGTAGAGGAGACCCCTCTCTCCCTTTTTCTCTGTCCCCAACCCCCCTCTTCCTCTCTGTGTATGTATGTATTTATTATAAAGATCTGGCTAATGCAATTATGAACGCTACAAACGAGACCCGATGGTATAATTTATGTCCAAAGACCAGCAGGCTTGAGACCCAGGAAGAACTAACACTTAAGTTTGAGTCCAAAGGCAGGGAAAAAACCAATGCCTCTCTTATTCAGGGGAGGATCAACTTTTTGCTCAATTTAGGCCTTAAACTGATTGGATAAGACCCACCCACGTCCGGAAGGGTGATCTGCTTTTCTCAGTTCAAATGTTGTGAACTCAGCCCAAAGTTCACAGGAATACTCAGAATAAGATTTGACCAAGTATCTGGGCATCCCATGGCCCCCTCAGGTTGACACATAAAATTAACCATCACAGGTACACATCTTTCTTATTCTGTAAAATAATGAGGAGTTGGGAGAGAGAGAGGAGAGATGTTGATTTGGGCCATGGAGTCCCGAGCTTCATTTCAACTCTGTCCTAGGACTCTTCCAGAAGTCAGGCTAATGAGACTGCAGAGAAGTCCACAAAGCAACTGTGCCCCTAATATGCCCACATCCCTAACCCAGAAGTATGAAAGGCTTCAACGAGCCACTGGGCTGTGAGCAGCCCGAGAGCAGGAGCCCTGCCTTGGAGGGGTATAGAAGGCTGCCAGTATAGGTTTGTTTAATGAATAAATAAATTCATGAACATTGGATGACTGAATGGTTGCTACCATCTTTAAATCCACTCAGTGACTTAGTAGAAAACAAGTGTCAAATCAGAATTACAGAGAATCCAACGTTAAGCTGTAAAAACACTCTCCCAGAGGTACCTAGCCTGCAGGGATAGTCTGTGGGCATGCAAAAGGCAAATTCCCCATGTCCATAAACACCTATCACAGTTGTCCCTGCCCAGGAACTTTGGGCCACTTCCTCTTGGTGGGCTATTTTGAGTCTACCAAACCCTCAGGGATGCTGTGCCCTCCCCTGCCTGGTTTCCTCCGCAGACTCCCCAGTGTGAGGGGCCCACCCTGCCTGCCCCATCCACTCCAAGAGGCTGCCCTTAGAAGAGCCGGCCCAGGGCTCCAACAGCCCTGACAAACTGACCAGTCACTGCACCTCTTTCCTTTTCAGGCTAAAAATAAGAACTGACCCTTCTACGGGTCACACATTTGCTGCCGAGGCCTTCCTGTGGGCTGGGAAAGCCATGGATCTGGAAGAGCCTTCCTGGGAAAAACTCGGAATGCTGGCAGTGTCTCTGCAGATGGCCGTGTCCTGCTGTCCCATCTTTGGATGCTGCCTGCAGGTTGATGCTACAGAAAAGCTCCATGATGCCCATTCTGTTGACAGCTACAATGCGGTTTATCCCCGTCCCTTTTAAAAAGAACTTGCCTCTTTCTGGAACTTCTACCCTCTTCCTTCGTCCCCATAAAAACAAATCTATTTTTGGCAGATGCAGCCACTGAGCTGGATTCTCACGCTTGCGCAGAGGAAGGAGAGAGCAGGGAAACAGCCCAGGGAAGGGGAGACAGGAAGGGGACGCCCCTGGCCCTGACATGTGCATGCTGCTGGTGGCCACGCCCAAGGGAGAGGTTCCTGTGGCCTGTTTACTACATTCTGGGGCTCAAGGTCAATTCTGTGGGTGTTTCTTAAAGAAAGGCTCACACATGCAAACACACACCAACATGAGAGACATGTCCCCTGGGAAAGGTGGGCAGGCTATCTCCTGAGAGACATGACCAGGGCAAGGGGACATCTGTTACCTTGGTGACATGCCATGTGTGGCCTCAGTTGAAAACTCAGAAAACTGACTCTCTGGGCACAGAGGGCTGATCCATGCCCCAGGGGTGGGTTTTCATGAACCCAGGGGTTTAAGTACAATAGTACAGTTACAGTACAGTTGACAGAATGGGCATCGTGGAGCTTTTCTGTAGCATCAACCTGCAGGCAGCATCCAAAGATGGGACAGCAGGACACGGCCATCTGCAGAGACACTGCCAGCATTCCGAGTTTTTCCCAGGAAGGCTCTTCCAGATCCATGGCTTTCCCAGCCCACAGGAAGGCCTCGGCAGCAAATGTGTGACCCGTAGAAGGGTCAGTTCTTATTTTTAGCCTGAAAAGGAAAGAGGTGCAGTGACTGGTCAGTACAGTTACAATAGTACAAGACACAGTTAGCTGTGTCTTGGGGACCAGAACAGCTGTCACCATGACCAGCCACTCCTGCCTTTATGGGAGGCCATAATGGCACAAGCAGTCTGCAGACAGTGTGGGAGAACTGTTTGGTCCGTAGCGCCAATGGTGCCCACAGTGCCCACAGGGCTAGGCTGGCCATGGGCACTGGAGTGTCCATCTCCCTGGCTGAAGTGCCTGGCACACCACTTGGCCATGCCAGGGGGTGAGTGGCCACCACACAGGACTGGCAGCCCTCACCCCCCTCTGGGTGCCCTGTGTGCCCCTCTGAGGGAAGTGAGCTGAGGACAATCGTATTTCCTTTATTTCCCAGCAGCAGGTAATGCCGTTTCAGCCTCCACACCACACTGAACGCCTGGTTCATGGCCAAGGGCCTTATCTTCATTCCTTTCTTATTCAAATGTTCACATTTCCCAAGGCCTTTCCTTCAGGTTCTCCTTTCCATTCACCCACAGAGAAACATCTCTGAATCCAAGCTGGAAATCCCAGCCCCGGGAAATCCACTGTGGGAGCTTGACCTGGAAATGTACAGAGCCAGGAAGAAAACCGAGCCAACTCCTGTGGTTTGCCAAACTGACCCCTGCCCTCCCCCAGGAAGAAGCAGAGGAATGAGAAGGTTCCTTGCCCCCTACCCTGCCTACGGGAGCCTCTTCGGTGCCTCCTCAGGAGGCCAGTGGATGCTGGGAGGTACCTGAGCGGGGCTACCGTCACCACTGAGGACGTCTTCTCTTCTAGCCCCTCCTGCCCAGCCCTGCCCTCACCTGGTAGGCAGCTTGTCTCATGAACTGCTTGGCGGGCTGCTTCCAGATGGCGGGCACCGTGATGACCCATCTGACATCCGAGTTCTCGAACTCTGAACCTGCCTGGTCACTCAGCTCCTAAAGCCCAAGAAAATAAACATGTAGGTCAAGTGGTGGAGCTGATCCCCAAGGGCACGCCTCCTGTGGCTTCGCTGAGAATCCAGGCTTCCCACCACAAACTCTTGAGGGTCAATTCCATAGCTGCCTGAAGTTACCAGTGTCAGCTCTGGGGATACCAGGAGATTAACAGGCTGACATTTTCCTGTTTGTTTGTTTCCTAATGGAAAATTATTATTTCAAATTGTTATCTTGAGTCTGGCCCACCCTCTTACTGAACTAACTTCCTCTTTGATCAATAAACTTTCTTTTATTGCCTTTTAAAATTCTTATAAAAATGTTATTTCGTGGTAAATATGCACATGCCATACAATTTACCATCTTAATCATTTTTACATGTACAGTGCAGTAGTGCTAAGTACACCTGATAAACTTCTTTTAAACACATTTTAAAAGAACACCTCTGCTTTGGGTCAACGTGAAACAGCCATTTTTATCATAATATTTTTATTTCCGGTGCACTGGGCTTTGCCACACAGATGAGTGGTGCAAAGGGACAGATTCTAAGCAGGACACTGATGGCCAGACAGGCAATTTTAGACTCTTTAAAAGGAAACAGACTCAAAACAGGAATGACGAGCTCCCCTAGGCAGTGTGTTCAGGGGAAGGGAACAGCTCGGAAGGGAAAGGCGCTGGCATTAATGATCTGTCTCACGTGTCAGGCTCTGTCACTTGCTTCCCTGATGAACCACACACAGCTTCATTCCACGACCACTGAGACGGTCCCTCTGGAGAATATTCTGCTGAAGCTTACTCTGGTCAAGCTCACAATAGCTACTCCCTTTGAACCCACTGGCCCCTCAAATACCAGCCAGCCCTTGTAAGGGGCCAGTCCCTATATGTCCCCTCCAACAGCTCTCTCTCCTGCCCTGCTGGGAGGAGCTGGAAGGTGCTAGCAGGTCCCCGCAGCCTCCCTGGCTGCGCTGAGGAATTCACAAACAACCACCCGTGCCCCTGCTTGACCCTCCCGGGCGTCCCTCCACCTCCTCCCTCCTCTCCTGAGATGGCTGAGTGCTCCTCTCCTGCTGGCAAACTTGAAACACGTGTCCTTGTCACAGACTTGCTCAAGTCCTAAATTTTCCCAAGTGCCCACAGCTCCTCCTCTCAGGGCCCGTGAGGGCTCTGCCTCCTCGGCCCTTCTCCTGCCACAGACTTGCCTCAGTGCCTCAGACATACTCTCTCATGGTCTCCTGGGCCACCGGCCACTGGCCCATCCCCCACAACATTTGACCCTTGGTCCTCAGCTGACACAGATCCACCTCAGCTTGCTCCTCCCGTCTACTTCTCCACTGCCTGGAATGACCTTCCCCATCCCAGGGGTCTCACAGTGCTCTTGCCTTTGGCTGGTGGGGTCGTCTTGAACACATCCAGCCCCTGCCCACCCCTAGGCTGTGCCCTTCCCCTTTCTGGTGGCACGATGCTTCCCCAGAACCACTTCTTCCCTCCCAGCCACTCTTTCTTCTTGGTAGTCAGGACTGTCCTTCACAGTCCCCAAATGACCCCCTGGTCCTGACTCTTGAGCCTCCCTCTCACCCTTCAGACACACCTTGAGGACCTGAGCCTGGGGGCTGCACGTGGCTCTTCTCCACCTGGAAGGCTCCCAGGACCTCCGGGGTCTCTCACTCTATACTGTGTGTCAGAAACATTCCCCCGTGCAACAGTGTTGGCCAAAGGGGAGGTGTTTATGTCACAACACTCTGCCCTCGTGAATGGATTGATGCTGCTCTAAAAGGGCTTGTGGAAGTGAACACCCGTCTTTTACTCTTCCCCCTCTGAGGAACACGTTCCTTCCCCACCTCCCCAGAGGAAGCAGTATTCAAGGCTCCAACTACAAAGCCCTTACCAGACACCAAACCCACTGGCACCTTGATCTTGGACTTGCCAGCCTCCAGAACTGTGAGACATAAAAGTCTATGCTTTACAAATTATCCCGTCTGTAGTCTTCTGTTACAGCAGCACAGATAGACTATGGCACTCTGGTACTTCCCAGCACCATGTCATCCCCCTACTGGAAAGCCTGTGATGGCTCCTGTGACCAGAGAAGTAGCGCCTTGTCTTGGCATTTATGGCTCTGCACGATCTCATCCTGAGCTGGGTGTTCTGGCTTTAGCCCCCGCCTGCCCTTCTTCCACCACAGCTGCTTTCCTCCCACAGCTGCTTGCTGTGTATTCTTTCCCCGGAGCTGATCTTGTGCCATTCCACCATTGGGAAATACCCACCCTTCCAGATGTTGCCTGTGGGCCCCCAAGCCCCATTCGCCACTGGACAGAATCTCTCCCTCCACCAATGCCCACAGTCCCCCTCACCCTGGCCCTGACCACGCACTCCTGTATACTGAGTTGGTTTCTACACAGCCACACTCATTTAGGATCTGGCACATAAAAGATACTCGAAAAACAAAAAAAGGTACTCAAATGGATGAAAGTAGTCAGGCTCTATTTCCAGAATTCACTAAATTTCTCCTAGTGATCACATAATACCAAATGCTTCCCAAGCTCCATTCTTCTTGGAGAAAGCTCAGTTTGTCATCTGATTGCCACCCACTCGTCACCATGCCTGTGGGAGGCAACACTGAGTGGACAGCCAGATTCCACTTTGAAATCAGCAGTTTTTGGCATTCTGGGCCATCATGATCACAAAACTTCGCAAGGACGATCCAAGGGGTTCACACTTCACACTACCAGCTCTTCCCCAGGGTCTGCTGGGGCACAGAAGAGGAGGAGGGGGAGATGTAGCAGCTGCCACTTGCCAAGTGCTTACCGGGTGAGGGGGCCCTGCATGTCCAATATTACCCTTAATACCCAACAACCCACACGGTACAGCACCCACCCCATTCTACAGGTTAGGAAAGGGGAGCTGGCAGAAAGTACCTTGCCTGACACTGTACAGCTGTAAAGTATGTTTCCTGGGGTTTCATACTATGATGTAATTCACATATCATCAAATTCACCCTTTAAAGTATACAATTCAGTGGGTTTTAGTGTACTCACAAGATTGTGCAACCAACCCCACTATCTACTTTCTTCACCCCCAGAAGAAACCCACACCCATTAGCAGTCACCCCTCTCACTCCCCGAAGCCCCTGGCAACCCCCACCCTGTTTTCTGTCTCTGAGGCTTCCCCTGTTCTGAACATTTCCCACAAATGGAGTCATACAAAATGTAGCTTTGTGTACCTGGCTTCTTTTACTTCCCGTGGCATTTTCAAGGTTTATCCAGTAGTACCCATCGGAGTTCCAGTCCTTGTTACAGCTGACAGACCACAGTGTGTTTGTCCCTGCATCCACTGAGGCACATGTGGGTGACTTCTGCTTTTTAGTCAGTATGAATAATGCTGCCACGCACGCTACCTGTGTTTGTGTGGACTTGCTTTCATTTCTCTTGGGCGTATACCTAGGAGTGGAATTCCTGGGTCTTCTGGGTCTTATGATCACCCTGTGCCTACTTTTCTGAAAAATTGCCAAACTGTTTTCCAAAGCAGCTGCACCATCTCCCATTCCCACCTGCAGCAAGTGAGGGCCCGTCCTGCCCTCTGGTGACTAATTAGCCCAGACTCTCCCTCTAGCCGGCAGGTGCAGCCACCCCAGAGATGGGGCTGGCACAGGCACACAGCCCAGCACCTGGCTGACCAGCCTCAGCCATCAGTCCTACCTTCAGCGCCTGCTCCTTAAAGTACTGCAGGGCATAAGCAAAGATTTCCAGGGCTTTGACTTTCTTGCCGTTTGCTGCTGTTAGGTCTGTATCCATGGTGAGGTCCTGGCAGGGGGGAGAGGAACAAAACAGTAAGAAGAAGATACAGGAGGAACATGTCTTGGGACTCTGAGGACAGCTACTTGGAGACCTAGAGAATCCGATGAGCTGTATTTGTGTTTCCCCATGTTTGAGGGAGCAGGTTAGGACGGTGAATGCCCCAGAATGGGGCCTGGCAGCACTGTCACCTTACTGTGTAGGAGGCTCTGGCTGTTCCCTCCAGGCCCCACCTTCACTGCTCCCTCCTTCCCTCCCCCTCTCTCTTCTGGATCTTCCGTGAGCAAAGGTTTCGGGGCAACACAGGTCAGGAAGAGAAAACAGGCAGCAGACCCCATTCCCAGTGCGATGTGCACACTATTTCCACATTTGGACACACATGGTCACTCCCCTCCGATGGAGGCCTGAATTGTGCCAACTCACCGCCATGCATGATGCTAAACAAACATGAAGCTCTCATTCCCTGATAAGCTGCCAACCAAGTCACCGAAATAGAAGAGCTCCTATTTTAAGGCTTGCTCTGTCTAATCCCCTGGGAGCCCAGCATCACTGCCTTCCTTTCTCTGCTAGAAGCTAAAACAGCTGCTGAGTGTGGTCCTTAGACAGAGGGTGCTCTACAGAGCCCAGACGCTGGAATGGACAGAGGTCATTTAAGAATTGATAAGAAAAGACCCTGTGGGGTAGGGACAGGCAGAGAGCAAAAATCAGAAGGAAACCCCAAGTCTCCCCAAACCACAAGCTTATACACTGCCAGGGGAAAAAACAATCAGTGTGGCCTCCAGATTGATCCAGGCTGCGTGGTTATGCTTTGCCTTTGGAGGGAGAAGGGGCATCCAGTCACTAATCCACCAGCCATGTGGAGCCTGTGGGTGGCGTCCTGGCCTATCTGAGCCTGCTCATCCCTCCTGCTCCAGGTGCTCAGCAAAGATCTCTCAGCTCAGCAGCAGCTCCCAGGCCCAGAAAGGTGACCAAGCACCAGGAAGCCATAGCTCTGAATATTAAGAATTAAATTGAAAAACTTGCTGTGCTTCCCCGTGCAACCCTGATTCTCACACTGAATCCTATCAGGTGAGACAAGAGCAGTTCTGGTCTAGCAAAGGCTGTTCTGCCTCAGAGCAGGACAATCACAGCACCAGCACAGAGACAGAGAAGGCCGAGTCTGGTTGCTGAGTTCCCCATTAACATTTGTTTTGTCATCTGCAAACACTTAGCAGACAAAGCAATGATAATAAGAGCTAGCACTTGCCTAGAGCTTAACTGTGCAGCAGGACGGCTCTGAGACCTCTGTGCATTTTGATTCCTTTACGCCTTACTGTCCCCATGAAGAAGGCACTGTCCTTGTCTCCAAATAATAGAGACATAAAACAAGGCACAGAGAGGTTAAGTAACTTGGATTAAGTTTTTCAAAGTTACCAGAGGCCACCTGGCCTGAGAGTCTGTGGTCTTAAAGGTTATGACCATCCTGCCTTTCTAAGCACTGAGACTTAAGGGAAATTTATGGGATAAAATGCTTAAATGGAAAAATTCTATCCTATTCCCCAAGCTTTTCTATAAAGCTCAGGGTAGGGGATGCCTATTTGACTTAGCCATCTTACAGAACGTTGGTTTGCTGGGAGCAGAACTTCCTCTTTTTGGGCATTTGATGTCCTGAGCTCCTCCTCCCCTTGTGGAGGGTTGACGTGCCAGTTGTTAATGGCTGTTATTATACTTCCAAACTGGTTAGTTAATAACCACTGCCCCTAGGACCTCCAAATACCCTCAGCCCCCCACATGGCTCCCTCAGGATCCCCAGAGCTCCCAACAACCTAGCAACTGAAGCAGGAACTCCCAGCATGGCAGGGGACTCCCAGCACCCTATGCTCCTTCAGTGAGGGTCCACTAATTGGTCAGCTTCCAAGATAAGCATGTCATTAAATATCCCAAATTTCTATCTCCCTGCCCATATGTATGTCAGAAAGCAGTGCCTATTCTACGGAAGTGCTCTGTGCTCCAGGTTCTTCCTAAAATCAAGGTAAATAAAATTGGTTTCCACTTGGGAGAAACCCGAGGGCCCCTTAGGTTGGAAGACACTCCTCCTGCCGAAAGGCTGGAGGAACCCTGGCCCTCCACTGCCGAGGACTTGGGGCCAGGGGAGAGGTTCTCTCACCCCGGTGGTGTGCAGCTTCATCTTGAACTTCTCCAGGTACAGCCACTGTTTGGCCTCGTTGGGGTCCAGGTCGTGGTAAAAGTCCCTGGCGGCATACCCGAAGCTGTGGAACTTCCTCTCGGGAGTCAGCAAGATGGTGGTCGGAGTCTTCTGGTTGGACACGCCGGGGTCGCCTCCCTCCCATCGCCTGCCACCAAGGGAAGGCAGAGATTATGTCTTCAAAATCCCAGTTCAAGCAGCACAGATTTGAGCACCTACTGTACGCATGAGTGTCAGTGATATGGGCACTAAGCTGACTGAGTAGTGACTAGACACGTGCCTTTAGTTAAAAAGAAAAACAAAACAGGCCAGTGACAATTCTTGCTTGATAACAATGTCTGCCTTTGTCCCTTCATTCAGTATTGATTGAGCATGTACTGTATGCTGGGTGTCAATGACACGGGCATGAAACTTATGTTTCTGGCTTCAAATAGCTCATGATCTGATAGGTAATGTATTGTTTGTTTGTTTGTTTGTTTAATGTGCCTGCACTCAATTGCAGATAGCAGGCTTGAGTCCTCTTTCGAACACAGTACTTATAAATAAATCCATGAATACCTGCCTTATCAGAGAGAAATAAAGGGCCCAAGGTCAGAGGATATAAGGTGCCAGCTGTGGGGCAGAAAGAAGTGCAGGGCACAGTGGAGACTTGAAGCAGCAACAGACAACCGGATCTCAAAGGAGGGAAGGACACTCCAGGCTGCTCAGAAGTGGGCAAGCATAGGGCATGTGTGGGACATGCTAAGTGATTGTGTTAGTTGGAGAAAGAGTGTGTAAATGGGAAGAGTGATTGTGTAAATGGGTGAGAAATGAGATTTGGAAAGTAGCTGGCATTGGGCTGAGGAATACTCTGCCCATGACTAAATCTCATTTAGAGATTTAGTCCATGACTAATGGGGAGCCACTGCAGGTCTTAGAGTAGGGGCATGTTCAATCAAACCTGCTGTTCATTAGAACCAAGGGCCTGATGAGGAGACCAGGCCTATACTGGGAGCAGAGACAAAGAGCATAGGCTAAGAGAGGTGGGGACAAAGGGGTGCCGAGCCATCCCAGAGGGAAAAAGGAAGCAGGCTGGGAAGGGCAGGGGACTTGACATTTTTCTTTTCCTTTGGGGCCACTGCAGAGAAGCCAAGGCTGCCAGGAGGCCAAGCTGTTCCCCCTCAGCCCTGGCTCAGAGGCTGGCTCCCGGCTTGCCGTAAGCCATGTGACCCCTGTGCATGACCCCAGGTAGAGACGTGGTGCCCCAGGGAAGATGAGCTCCAGCCATCCAACCTGCTCCCGACACGGCATTATTAAGCAGCAGGAGGGCCAGAGTCCAGATGGAGCACTAGCCTCCACAGAGATTTGCTGCACAGATGGTTCTAGAATCACCCCTGGCCAATTTCCATCAGGATGTAGCTTTTCCCCCAGAAGCCAAAGTCCCTGAGTCCCTGAGGTGACCGCACTGAGACACAAGGACAGTCCCTATGCCAGGCAGCACACTGCCCTTCACAGACAGGCTGTCATTACTATGGACAGTGCCATAGTAGCTGATGATCCTACAAGCTTTTTTTCCCTTCAAATTTTTATTCCTTCATTCCTATTTAAATACAAAAAATTAAATTTTCTCATTCATAACTTTGTCAGCCTGTATCATGATTATGTTAACGTGACTGAAATAAAATTCAGTAGAACCAACCTCCCTCCAAAATCTCTACCAGGACTCAGATAAGGCCTCTAAGGCCCCGAACTAGGCATTCCTCCCGAGCAAGTTCAAAGTCGTCTTGCTCTATCTATTCTATTTTCTACTCCATGGAAATAATATTTCTTAGGACAACTATGGAGAAGCTGCCCAGAACCGAGTCTAGCTTTTATCAACATGTTCCTCCCACTGAGGTTTTCCATCTCAGGCGGTGGTGATGGCAGCATGACACTCGCAGCGTCCGTCTGGCAAAGTGGAGGTAGCACCTGGTGGCAGCTGAACACCGAGGGCTATGCTGTCATCAGGAGTCGCTGATGCAGAGCTGGCTTTTCATTATTTCCTGATGAGATGACAGCCAAGAGTCTCTGGACCATCCCATAACAACAGCCTCAGGCTGAGCCACATCTGGCTTTCAGGGGAAAAGGTAGGACTCAAACCATGATTGGAGTGGGAGTCCCTTTTATTCTGACTTGTTGTACATAACCCTTTATAAAAATACTTAAAATCTTACTATGGCAACAGTAGTAAATTCCATGATTACTCAGTTTAAGGAACTGCAAAGCCCATTATAATATATCTTCAGAGTCATCCTTTGCAACTGGAAAACCGGGGTGATAGATCCCAGGCTTCCAGAGCTTTAAGGGGTCACAGATCTACAGGAAGATCATGACTGGGTGATATCAGTGCCAGGATAGACCAGAGTCCTCATGGACACTGGGACCCACGGATAGGAGGGTGAGGGCCTGTGGTGCGCGTGGGGGAGAGCAGAAAGCGTCTGGCGCAGGCTTTCTGCTCCGCCTACTATCACGCTATGACTTCTCTTCACTTAAAAGAGCCAGCACCTTCCCTGCTGACATTTCACTGTGTGCTGAGCACCTGATAGGTGATCTCATTTACCCACCCCATACACCAGAAGGCAGGGACTATTATCATCCCCATTTCACAGATGAGGAAGCTGAGATTTAGCAGGTTCTGTGATTGCCTAAGGTCATGCAGTAATCGGCTGAGCTGGCACCCAGATCATCTCCCTTGTAGACACCACAGGGGTCAACACCTCTCACACAGGCCAGGCTTCAAACCCACTGCACAGGCCCCTCCCCACAGCACCTGAATCAGATTTAAACCAATGCTTTTACAGACCAGGAGCCCAGCGCTCAGAGGTCAGAAATGTCCTGCCCCGAGTGGCACAGGCCATCTGCTCCAAGCTGGCCCAGAAGCCAAGGTCCTCTTCCTCAGGACCCTTCCCCAGCTCATGGCCTAATGCTGGCCCCCCTCCCTGAGTTCCCGCCCCTCCCCACCCACAGCACTCACCTCATCACATGGATACATTCCGGCTCCTTGGTGAAGCTGTAGGCATAGCCACTAGACGTGGTCCCAAAGTCGATGGCCACCACCACGAGAAATGACTGCTGCTCCGAGACGTCAGGGTCAGCGTCGTTCTGCAGACATACAGAGAAGCTCTCAGGTGGGGGCCGGTCCTGGCTTTCAGGAAGTCACCCTGGATGGTGCCACCCTGCCCAGCTATGTACCCACTATAGACAGAAGGACATTTCACGTCCCAGCTCAAGGCTGCCACCTGAGACCCGTGGGAGAGGGTGGGCCAACCTCAACCCCTACCCAAGAGGCTCTGGGAGAAATGGAGATGCCCACGGAGAGGGCCTCTCTGCAGTGTGCCAACATTCCTCTACCAACCACACGCCCAGTTACAGAAACTGCCCTCAGGGCTGACTCCCCCACCCCCAGTCTCTGTGCAGACCTCGCCAGACTTCTCAGGTGACCACTCCATCCATCCAGCATTCCATGCCCATGAGCAGAGGCGAGCATCCCAGGACGCAGCTCAATCCCACTGAACCAGCCTTGGACTCGTGAGTCCAGCACCTCAGAGCCCAGGGGCCTTTCCTCAGCTGTCAAGTCACTTGTCAGTTCGTGCCACGTTTCTAACCTTCATTTTTTCCTTAGCAGTGTAGATTCTTTTCTTTTTAATTCCCATAGAGCTCCGAATTATAAGACCAACTCATTGTGGATTTGTCCTGTCTTGGTTAAAGTGGGGATGGCATCACTCAGTTGGCCTCTCCCCACATTGCCCTCCGTCCTCACACACCCTGCGCTCAGGGTGCAGAGATTGACAGCCACATGACCTGGCCCAAGGGGACCAACCCTCTCAGTCCCCAGGATGTGGGACTCTGGTGTAAATCAGGATAGTTCCAGGGAACCAGGACAAGTTGGCACCCCTACCTAGTGGTGACAACTCCCAAGTTCTTGGCAGGGTCTTCTTTGTACATCTAAGCAGCTCACACAAAGCTGCCCTCTCTTCCAGGTACTCACCTGGGCTGGTTACCTGTGCACCTGTTTGAACGGTCCCCACAGCATCCATCTCTGCTCATAGCACAGGGAATGGTGGGCGCAACAGCGCCTCCCCAGCCCCCTCACTGTAAGCAAAGCACTGCTCAGGCCTTCCCTGACTGGCACACTGTTGCTCAAGCAATTACAGAGCCTCAGGCTTCCAGGCAGGGCAGCTGAGGGCCATCAGCAAAGCTCCTGAATTTCACTGATTCACCACCTAGAATGGCTGCTTCCTTCCAGTAGGATGCCCTGCAGGCTCTGAGCCCTGCTCCCACCCTGCCTGCCCCTGAGACCTGCCCAAAGCTCCAGAAGCTCCAGCCACACACCACAGAAGCCTTTTCAGGGCCTGAGTGGGGAAGGGACTCTGCAGGGCTCATGTGGCTCTTCCCAGGTCAATTTACTCTCCACCCAGAAAGGGGAAAGGGCTGCCAGCAGCAGCCTGAACTGTGAGATCAGACCCAGAATGAGCAAGTAGTCAGCATGCACTCAACACACACACACACTTCTTACCACAATGTGGGAAGGGGACAGAGGCGTTATTCCTGTGTCCCCAAGACTCCGTGCTGGAGATGAATATGCAGATGTGGGAGCCGTTTCTGAAAGGAAAGACAGCGTCCTTAGCATTGGCATGGGCTGACCCCAGGAACAGAATTGAAGGCTGCCTTGCTATGCCCCTCCAGGGTTCACAGATGGGCCCAACCCCAGCCAGGATGGCAGGGCATCCGTTCCAGCATTCCCTCTTTCTGATATTCAGAACTTGACCAAATAAGATATCCCATTTCCCCCAGTGACCACCAGGCCTCCCTGTGCCACCCACCCCCTGCTAAGAAGGAGATGCTGATCATTCCCCAAAAGCACCCAGCTCCTGGCTGTGCCCTGAGCCAGGGCTCCATGATAGACTGGCAGAGCATGTGGCCACCTGAGATTATGTGCAAATGTTTGTGCACATTTTCTTGGAAGAGTATCCACAGCTCTGAGGTTCCCAAAGGGGTGCAGGACATTTTCTGCAAAGATCAACAACCCCTATCCTAGGACCATGGGCAGGAGAACAGCTGCTAGGAGTGTCCTTTCCCAGTGGATGCCAGAGCATGGTGAACTCATCTCTCTATAGTGATGCTGAGGATTGTACACATTCAACAGGAAAACCCACAGCCCAGGGCAGTGAGGTTAGCATTCCCAGTCCCTGCCAACAGGGCCAAGGACAGACATAAGGGCCAACAGGAGAAGGGACAAGAGCTAAGCAGCCAGGGCACCGTTCCGCCCACTGCCTTGCTGTCTTACCATGACTCAGGCACGGCATTTGTCCTGAACTCTTCCCAGAGCCTGGGGATCTCCCTCCTCCCAGGAATGGGACCCCAAGGAAGTCACACTCTCCCTGGTAAGTGCTGGAACACTCCCCAGAGCTCTTTCTGCCCACTGCCCAGCCCTGGCAGGACAACAGAGCAGCCAAGCAAGGACCATGTGTCCCCACCGTGGAGACGATGGCCAGACCCCGGCGCCTGTGAACACCAGGCACCATCCAGTCCTCTGAACATGCTGCTCTGTGTAGTGCATAGTCTGACACCTGCTATGGGTAAAACTGGCCAATGTTCTAAACAACACTTGTGGTCAAGGAAATATAGAGGGCTTAAGGTGTCTATTGGAAAAAGGCCTGTCTGCTTCTAGGCAAGCAGGAGGAGTGGCTCCATCTGCCTCTTCTGCTAAATCACTTCAAGTTAATCCCAGGCTCTTGCTGATTTCTTTTTCTGCATGGGGGGAACTCAAGCAGCAGCATCACCGTGGGTACCATACAGGCTGCAGGAATGGAATGAGTCACACAAGAGTGAGTGGAGGCGCTCACTGCTTAGCCCTCTCCTCCTGGCGAGGCTCAGTTCCAACCTGAGGACAGAGAGACGTGTAGCCCAGTAACTAGCGGCACAAAACCAGCTCCCTCGGTGAAGGACTCGCACAGACATTTCCCCAAAGAAGATACACAAATGGTCAGTAAGCACAGGAAAGTGCTAGGTATCATTAGTCTTTAGTGAAATGCAAAATGATACCACTTCACACCCACTGGGATGGCTGTGATTTCTTTTAAAATAAAATAACAAGTGTTGGCAAGGATTTGAAGACATTGGAACCCTTCTGTGTTACTACTGGGAGTGGAAAATGGAGCACCTGCTGATGAACACAGTGGCAATTCCTTAAAAAGTCAAGTATAGAACTACCATACGACCCAGCCCTTCCAGTCCTAGAAGAACTACCCAGAAGAACTGAAAACAGAAAGTAAAAGACACACTTCTCTGTGAATGTTCATTACAGCATCATTCACAATAACCAAAAAGTTGGAAGTGCGCAAGTGTCTATCAACAAATGAATGGATGGGCTTAGTACCTATGGCTCAAGCGGCTAAGGTACCAGCCACATACACCTGAGCTGGCGGGTTCAAATCCAGCCTCGGCCTGCCAAACAATAATGATGTCTGCAACCAAAAGGTAGCCGGGCATTGTGGTGGGCACCTGTAGTCCCAACTACTTGGGAGGCTGAAGCAAGAGAATTGCTTAAGCCCAGGAGTTGGAGGTTGCTGTGCACTGTGATGCCACGGCACTCTACCCAGGGCGACAGCTTGAGGCTCTATTTCAAAAAAAAGAAAAAGAAAAAGTCAACTTATTCATCTGGGAGGGGAAGCTATTTTTGATCCTATTTGCACCCAAAGTCCATTTCTCTCAAAAAGAGAATGGAGATGTAAGCTCAGTTCTTAACCAGCATGCCAAACTCCATCCTTGGCTAATCTCCCAGCGCCCACTTCCATGAAAGTTAGGGGGTAGGGGGGTGGGGGGGGAATTCTGCCTCTCTAGTAGGAGGTCCAGCAAGATGATCTTTCCACCTGTTGGTGAGAGATCTTCCCTGCCCACGGTGCTTAGGCAGCCTGCAGAGAAAAGCACCAAGAGTCGCCCTCTCCACCTGCTACCTGGAAGGCCTGAGGCCATGTGTCCACATTTGCACAGCCGGTCTTGGAAGAAACCAAGTGTCTAATTGCCCAGAAAATCTGGTGTTGGCAATTAGCAAACAAGCTATTATCTGCAGACAAACTATCCACCCCGCTGTTGCTTGGTCCTAATTATCCCATCACTCCGCCCTTCTCAAAGCACGTCCCGGATGGTCCCACTGATTTGCAAAATAGCGCAGGTCAAGCCAGGCACTGAACACATGCCTAGGGCCCCCAGAGGACTCTAGGATACCTTGAGGGCAAGAAGCAAGAATTTTTTGGTTTTCCCTAAACTTCTCCCTCACTGCAATTGGGGCAGTATTATACAAATCATTTGACTTGCTAATCGCTCACTTTCTTCATGCACTTTCTCCAACAGAAATTAAAATTTAGCTACATTGGGCGGTGATTGAAAACTGATCTGCATAGAAGACACCAGGGAGTAGCATTTTCATGGATAACTTTCACATCACGCACACCGTCTATATCAATATACTCTAAATCAAAGATAAGTCACCAGTTCACATTCATCAGTCCAGCACAGGAAATTACAAAGCCTGCAGGGACACACTGATATATCTGTACTTTACTACCTACTTAGGATGTCAAAGTGGTGCTCACAAATTCTCCTGGAAAAGAATATAGAAAAGGCTACTTTATGTAGCCCCAGAGGCATGTGGGGAGCTTAATTCTAGGGTGCTAACAATCCCAGCAAGGCTTGGGATCATTTATTCAATAGGTAATTGATTAGGAAAAAAACAAAAAAGGGTCACTGGAATATTGTCTGTCAATCTATGGATATCTGACAGATATAAGCTGATAGATAACAGGAGGGAGTTGACATATGGAACATCCCTAGGTACAAGGCATACGCTGTGTGCCTGCTCTCGCTGATTTGATGGCCATTATCTGCCATAAGAAACACCAGATGTCCTCTCCTGTGGCCCTGCCTGTGCTACTTCCACCCACTATTCCAGTTCTTTACCCAAAGGATGACTTCAACACACTAGAAACAGAAGAGAAAGGCAAAGCCGATGCCTCGCCTCAAACAGAGGCTTGGAAAGCAGAAAGGAAGCCGAAGAAGAGAAAATTCAGGCCCTCCTGTGGAGGGAGGGAAGGAAGAGTTCTGAGAGGTCCAAGGAAAATGCTTTGTCAGGAACTGTGACCAACAGCAGAGCTGAAGGGGCTCGGAGCTTTAAGAAACACCCACTGGTGTTGAGATAAGGGAACTCTTTCACACTGCTAGTGGGAAGGCAAACTAATACAGCCTCTTTGGAAAGAAGTATGGAGAATTCTCAAAAAGCTAAAAGTAAACCTTCCATTTGATCCTGCAATCCCATTACTAGGCATCTACCCAAAAGAAAAAAAAAAAAACATTTTACCTTAAAATAAAAAAGGACTTGAACTTTCAAATATTCATTGCAGCTCAATTCACAATTGCCAAGGTGTGGAAACAACCCAAGTGCCCATCAATTAATGAATGGGTAAATAAACGATGGTATATGTGTACCAGGGAATGCGATTCAGCCATAAAGAAAGATGGAGACTGTATATCCTTTGTATTTACCAGGAAGGATTTGGAGAACCACTAAGATACTCCTAAGTAAAGTATCACAAGAATGGAAAAGCAAGGATCCAGTGTACTCAACACTAATATAAAACCAGCAGATGTACAGCTACACACCCACACAAGAGAAAAACACAAATTCAAGTAGAGGGGAGAGGTGGGGAGGGAGAGGGTTTGGTAAGCTCTCACCTCACAGGCGCAATGTAAGGGTATATGGCACACCTCGGTGAAGGGTTCAATTACAATTGTTTGACTTTACCTAACAAAAACAATGTTACCTAATCATATATACCCTCATATTAATCTAAAATTAAAAAAAGAAAAATAATAGCCAGGGGTTGTGGCGGGCGCCTGTAGTCCCAGCTACTTGGGAGGATGAGGTAAGAGAATCGCTTGAGCCCAAGAGTTTGAGGTTGCTGTGACCTGTGACGCCATGGCACTCTACCAAGGGTGACAGAATGAGACTCTGTCTCAAAAAGAAAAAGAGAAGGAAATATCTACTACACTATTCTCACCAGATTAAATAAAGATCATTCAAAGCTCTTCCACTTCAAGACCAAGTGACCCTGAAATCCTCTGTCACAAAGGGACACGATGATTCACATCTCCGAAGCAGAAAAACATCGACCATTTCACAAATGCAAACTACCACCCGCAAAACCGTGGTTAAGCTGAAAGACGCTGGAGCTTTCTAGAAAACAAACAGAAATTAACCATCAGTTCTCCTTTATTATTATTTACAGATAATTTAACATCACTTAGATTTTAGACGGTTAGTGTGCAGACGATTCTTTTTAGTTTTGTGAACATAAAAATAAGCTGACAAGGGAGGTTACAGGTTCATTCATTAATATGGCCCCTTCCATCCCAACAAATCAACGCATTTTTGCTGAAAAAGGGGTACATAATAAAAATATTTTTATAGCACTGTAGAGAACAGATAAATAAAAGTATTATTTGACCAACAATTCTTCCGAACCCCAAACCAGGCAGTTGAGGAAGAAATAGTGTAACTTGTTAATTTAATCTTCATCCCTTACCTTAATAGTGCAAGTATTAAA